TCTGCAAAGAGTAGACAGCCGTCGACAATTGTCAGGGAATTGCGACGTTGATGAAACTGCTTCAGTACAGTGTCTTCAATTTTCTGTGGCCATTTTGAGCTGTGAAAGCGGATCACTTGCTGGACCCTGGGATAATGTGATGTTGCGGCGCGTATCTAGGAAGCTGTTACTGGGATGTTTAATTGCACCTGCGACAACGCAACGAACTTCAGGCTCGATCGAGATGCTTGCCACCACAACGTCCTCTGGTTCCTGTCGATCTCTGTCCATGAAGCGTGATAAAGCATCGGTATGATCAATGTTCCCAGTCGATTGGTACTTGATTTCGAAATCATATCCCAAAAGCATTGTGGTCCACCTCTGAAGGTGATTTGCTGAATGTCCCTTTTGGAACCAAAGGTAAAACAAGTAGGGGCTTGTGATCCGTGAGCAAAGTAAAATGGAGGCCATAAAGCATTTTGTGAGATTTCTTAATGGCGTAGACGATTGCCAATGCTTCTTTTTCAATTTGGCTTAAGTAGGTTTCTGCGAACGTTAACGATAAGGTGGCACGAACAATTGCCTTCTCAGTTCGGTTAGGAAAGCGGTGAGATACAACTGCGCCGACTGCGTACTTAGACGCGACAATGATAACCAAGCTGGGATCGAATTAGTCAACAGCAGGTTTGACGACAACATGGCTTTGATCTTACCAAGAGCTTGAATGCGTTCCGTGGACCCCGTATAGCATGTATTGCTATCAAAAATGCACTGTTGTGAGTCAGCAATCCCGAGAAGGATCGTAACGTCGTCACATAATGTGATGGAGGCATTTTCGAGATAGCCTAAATATTAGTGGGGTCTGGTCTTGGACCGTGTTGATCAATGATGAATCCCAAACATATCTATCTCTTCTCAGGCGAAAGCCATAATCTTGGTTTCGATCAAGCACGTTTTCAATCCGGTTCTCTAGATCTGCCGAATCAGCGTCCATGGTAATGGCACCGTCATGCTGCAACAGATGGGACGTCCTGTAACAGGGTGTCGATAATCTGTTGAAAAATGGCAGGTGCTGTTTGTACACCAAATGGTAGGCGAGTGTATGGAAATAGACCGAGGTGAGTATTGATGGTCAGCAGTTCTTATGAATCCTCAGAAACTTCCACCTGAAGATATGCGTCCTATAAGTCCAGTTTGGCGAAACACTTGCCACCATTTAGATTTTCGAGCAAATCATCCGGCAGAGGCAACGGGTATTGGTGCCTTTCAAGGGCAGCATTCAGACCAGTGGAGAAATCTGCACAAATTTGGACTTTCATTTGGTTTCTTGACCACCACAATTGGAGCAGTCCATGATGAGTAATTCCCAGGTTGAAGGGTGCCAGCCTATTGCAGTCTCTCCAATTCCTGAACAACGCTTGGTAACACTGCATACGTTACTGGACGTTTGGGTCGGAAGACACGTTTGCGTCGGAGTAGAGGGACAATACTGCCTTGATTTTCGTGCAACAACCAAGCTCATCTCAGAATACTTGAGCGAACGTATGGCGTGAACGCTCTGACAGAACATTCCAAGGAGGAGTGATCACAGACTGAAAACACAGAATTAAGTGGGACGCAAAAGAGCCTGAGTTTGCGATCCAATCAAGGCGCAAAAGGTTTAGATTTGGCCGATTAGAAAGGTAACACACGGCATAGAATTGCATATTGTTGAAAAACACAGAACACTTAAGTCCACCTGTGAGTTTTAGGACTCCACCGGAAGCATTCAGCGATGTGCGATTGGTCGGCTTTAGAGGAGGTTGACCGATCGTCTTCCATGTGCTAACAATAAAGTAATATCAAATGCTGCACCCAGCTGAAGACACACAGGTGTTGTTGATATGCACTGTCACATATACACGCCAGTGTTTTGCGTCCGAATTGAACGTAGCCATAACAAGCTTTATTTTTACGTAGATTTTTTTCCTCTTTTTTGAACTGGGTCATCTGAAGTATCCCATTGTCTGCGCTGCAATGATCTTCTTTGTGTCTTCGTTTGTGACATTCCTGACTACGGTGCTTTTTGAATTGGCATACGGACATAATACCAACCACCACACTGTCAGCAGGCTGTTGGGGGTTTGTTGAAGGCGCCGATACTGGAGGAATTAGTAGGTTTAGCTGGGATGCTGGAGCCGGGGACTGCTTCTCGTCTAATCATGGCAGTATCGCGTTTCAGGTTCAACAAACAGTGGTACTCTGAAATAACTGATCTCAGACTCATGGTAGGATCCTGCTCTACCTTACTGAGTAGGCGGGGACGAATAGCTGAGTCACGAGGCGATTGAAGGTTACAAACAAATACCAGACACTTGAATTGGTCTTCCGTCATTTCCTTAAGCTTGAAACGTTCACACTGACGGTTTACCGTGGTCGCATAAGACACAAAAGCATCACAGTCATTTTCAACAAGTTTCAAATAGGAACACCGCAGGTTAAAAACAGAGGACGCTACCCCAAAGATTTCTTCTAACAAGTCGACACTCGTCAAATTTAAAATCCGCGCTATTAAGAAGAATAAAATTCACAAACCTTTCGTGTTCCTTGGTCCCAAGCTTCCACAGAAGCAACCATGACTTCCAATCATCAACCGTATCAGCCAGCTCTGTGCGGAATGTATCTGCACACCTCCTAAACCAAGATTCGAAAGTGCATCCAGCATCTACTAGATCATAGCCAAATTCCATGATGTTTCCAGAAATTGCATCAACGGATGACTACTTTCTGTCAGTTGACGACGATCGAACCTTAAATTCTTGCGACAGGGTCTCGATAAGCCGCACATATGATTTCTCAAATAACTTTTGTTGCTGCTGCAGGATCAAGATGAGCTCTATCATTGAAAGTGGCATCTTTGTGAGTTATTCACAATTTTATCCCGTCACCAGAAGAATCTGTTGTGGTCTACTATATATCGCAAAACGTGACGACATCAAACTTGGAACTTTCCACCCAAAACAGAAGTCCAAAGATATCAACAAGGAACATACTTGCGAGAAAACAAAACGAGGTACATGGAATACGATTGCATTGGTTTCTAAAGTCCTGCTACACAATGACCATGAAACTGGAAATGTGGCAGTCATTTGTTGCACCAAGATCATGACCAGGAGACAAGCGAATCATCTTCGAGCCGGCATGCTGGACGTTTTATCCGACCGATTTCGTTAGGGTCTGCGTCCCCTAACAGATCGCCTAAATGAGTGTCAGCAATCATCAGACAATTGGCAGAACCAAAAGGCCAGCTCACGAACCAAGTGAGGCTTACCTGGATGAGGATGTAAATAAGTGCGAGGTGACTCATTAACTCACAAGAGCAATCAATGGCTTCTAGGGTAGTACCCGCATAATTAGGAGACAAAACTGCGCTATACCAGCGAATGCTCATGTTCAAATGGCTTGATATTTAGTGTAGAGATAAAAATAAAGAACAAGGGGGTAGTAGATCTAAAATCCAGTTGCGACCACCGTGTCTACGAGAGTGAGGGCGCTCCAATGTGACATCATGGCTACGGAGGTTACAACAAAAGCAACGCAGTCAAACGGCGACTTTGAAACATGAATCAATGAAGTATGGCATCAAGAACTGAATGTAGTAATCAGTGGTTACCAATGGCCAGAGGAGGGCGCAAGAACGGTCATTGATTTTTGACTAAAAATTTGCCACAAGAGAGTGCCCGAGTTAGTCTAGCCCGTGAACGATAGAAGCACAAGGATACAGTTACGAGAGGAGACAATGCGGAAGAATAGAAATGTTGAGATGCTCAAACCAAGTGAAGGGAGAAATAGTACAAATAATCGAGAAGCAAAATAAGTAATGAGCAATAATGACTGAACAATGAGAGGGATAGGAAGCGTAGAGGAAATGTGTGATCTTGATGTAGGATTATTCAAAGAGATGAAGGAACCCATGCAAAAGCCCCAAAAATTGCATGGGTTTCAAGGAGAAAGTTGTTATACCGACACCCTGACGATGGTTCATAAAGCGGTAAAACGAAGGGAGAAGTCTAGCACATACAGGAAGATGAGGATGCAAAGTTGCGATGTCTCGGTGTGAGATGCAGAAAGATCCAAAACGTCTCGGCCGATGAATATGGCTATGATAAGAGGATCAGTAAAATTATGTACCAGCTGGGGATAAACAAGTGTGTGTAACTAGCATTGTGTCCGACCAAGCCACGAGTGGACATGTGCGTATGAAAATACTCATTGTGTGGGGAGGTAGTCCACAGCTAGAGTGAAGACTAGAGGTCCAGCCCCGTGAATGAGAGTATGGCATCCCAATGTTGAAATTCAGCTAGCCTGAAAATCGTGAAACAAGTTAGTGAGAATCAACGGCATCACCAGCAACGAATTAACCTACCTTGTGTGTGTGTGCCAAGTTTACGGTTTGTACTAAGCCAAACGTGAGATTACGATGTGAAAGTGTCCCCCAGAGGAGACAGTCTACGATGTAGCTGACCAACAACAAACAGACTAGCTGCGGAGAAGAATGAGTTTAAATCCCTCATGATAACGATAACTGAAGTTACGGCAGATTTATCGGCAGAACCATTAAAAACAAATAAATGGTATTGATAAGTAACCTATCAAGAGTTCCACTTTAAACAACAGTCCCACGTAGATTAGAAACTGGAGCTATTTGACGGGGACACGACCGCTACTAATCTGCTCGAAGAACATTATAAAAGAGCATCAAACAAGAGCGAAAGATAACGAAGTGTATGTCCAGATGCCTAGGGGAGTATCGGTAGCCAAGATGTTGGGGAATCACTGTATAACAGCCAAAACGTACAAACAGCATGAAACGATAGTGCCTCACATTATAAGAAATAATATGTAATATTTACATAACGAAGTTATCCTGCTTATACACCACACATTCATCCGTTTCAAGATTCCTATAGCCAAAAAGATAGAGGGATGTCACGATATGGTGAAGCAGACGAGCTGAACGTCTACTGGGTCACAAAACGTACTTTGGTTCAGTGAGGTCAGCGTCCAATCCATTTGTATTGCTATCAGTGAGCAGCGAATCAACAGATGAAGCGTCTTGTAGGGCGGCCGAGTTGGATACACCAGTGTCTGTAGGTCTTGGTGCTTCTTCAAGGTGTTCACCTCCAGTGACCCCATTCTCTTCTAGTATGACCGGATTGCAAGAGGTATTCGAGAACTTCGATTCCATGAAGGGTTCAAAAGAGTCACCGTATGAACGACTCGCCCGGTTCGCACCAGTGCGCGGCCAATTCAACTTCATCTTCAGCGAAGCAAGCTGACTGCGCAGATTGTGCACCTCGAGCTCAGTTTCAGTAAGGCTTCTGGTGCGCTGTTCCAGTTTCTCACGCGTGAACTGAAGCTCCATACGATAGTTCTAAGCCAATGCGAAATGAATAAAAAGAATGGAAGATCATGACTACAGAGCCACCATTATCACTAGACTGTGAATGTGAACTGGAGATAAAGTGACGGTAATATGTAGCTCGTGACAACGTGTACAGGAAAGTGGAGACACAAAGGAGACGGACAAGATTTATCGGTCATTCCACCTAGGGACTAACAAGAAGTCTGACGATGTGCCGATACTTCAACGACACGAAAAAGTGCACCATATGGAAAGAGGGATAAAGTAAATGGAATATCGAAAGGTTTATCACTAGGCCGTACCAGCAGTACACAGGTAACACGTGCCGCCATTTCGCTGTCATACGATCACAGCAATCACGTGCAACTAGGGGCCCTAGGATTTTGTCCGCACCTAGGCAGAGTCGAATCGACGACCTGGGGATTACATGTCAGACGCCAGGCGACGGGCGCAGAGCCGAACGGCTACTTGCGGAGAAACATTATAGAAACCATGCATTTAGATGACGTGTGGAAACAGAACCAAATACGATTAAAAAAACAATCTCGGAAACAGGGAAGAAAAGCAAAGGTATGCCAAACATTGCTAAAAAGTAATTATAAGCCGTGTGTTACAGCGTTATCACAAGCCGGGTGAACTACAAGGCGAGAGAAGAAAACAATAGTGATGCTATGGAGTTTGTATTAGCTCACAACAGACGTTCCCAAAATGCTAGCATCTTTGTGGGGTTCAAAACTGGAAGTAGAAATAAGTGTAACAACTCAGGCCTCCATGCTGCGTACAAACCCTACATATGCTAAGTAGGTATCTGGCTCGCTTCCATCTATTGTTTGCTCACGCTGGTGGTAGGAATATTCTAGTGCGACGGTTGATAACCCAACATGTCAGCGGCGCTGACAGCACAGGTGTGGCCTTTCAATCTAGTGGGAAGTAGACTAAGAAGGAATGGGTGGCAGGACAGTACTACTCAGTTCGAGCCACCCGAAATGACAGGCAACTCCCCGCAATCCACCGCAGTCTTAGTGACTACAGAATTCCAGCAACGTTTGAACTCATATCGATGCCACAATAGTCTTCCGTAATGACACTATTCGGTTAACAACCAGTTTCAGATGTTTTGGTGAACGAAAGTAACGCGCACGTAATTGAAGGGTGAGCGTCAATATCTCAGCTCTAGTAACTTTATCATATCGGTCAATGACGCTCATCGTAGCCAAGTAGTCTTAGTCACGGATTGGTAACAGTTGGGTCGCTGGTTTCAGCTCCACAAAGGACATATAGAAATGCGCACTGCTGACAATTCCCGGAAGAATGAAACGTACAGTGCTTTTCCAGACATGTGATGATCATCTGAGTGTGGCAAATACAACTCAGAGCAGAGAATTAATAATAATAATAATAATAATAATAATAATAATAATAATAATAATAATGTGTCAGCTGTACGCGGTACCGGCGCTTCGCTGCCGTGCGAACACCACCAGTCGCACGCGGGATGAGTATACGATGAGGACGCCCACCCCCACGCGGATTCCAACCCGCGCCGCAAGATTACGAGACAAGCTCGTTACCTCTAGGCTACGGGTCGAATGTCTGATGGACAGAGACCACTGTGTGTCCACTGAGGTTTAGTAGGAACGACAGCTTCGATTGTCCCGCAGGAAAATTTTGCAGCATGAAAAGGTAAAACAAGGGGTGTAGAGATTGACTGCCAGCGCTAAAGCGCGTATGACTATCCGACATTCCCAGTGATACAAATGAGTAGTGGGGATTTGGTATGATTAGAAATACTTCATCACGGGTACACTTTCAGTCAGCAGGCTTAGGCTAGACTGACTGGAAAAGCACCAGACACCGGTGTTTCGACCATCTGGGTCTAAACAGTGGTGCGCCTTCCAGCGGACCCATGCCGGTTTCTGCCCCCATGACCTATGGATGCCAGCAGCTAGTGCCAGTTCGCAATGGGTGACAGCTGCGGAACTGCATGATTGACAGTTGACAGTGACATAGGCCGGTTCATCTTCTACTGCCATGCCAGCCTGGTGCTTTTCCAAACCAGTCTAAGCCTGCTGACTGAGAGTAGATCGTGATGAACTATGTGTCTGATGTTTAGAAAAATGGTTAACCTTTCTGTACGGCTAACTTGGCTAGCGTAGGCACTGTAGCCTGTCCGGGTGTAAAAACGAAGAGTAATGCTCTGAGTTAGCAGTGCTGTCTCATCCTGCAGGGAAATCGATGACGTATCAGCACAAGTGTTGTGGCGCCCTGAGAACAGTATGAGTAGCGTCCACATAGCGCTAACACGGTCCTCAGGACATACCAACCAGAAGCAAATACATTCAGTGGATACTGCATCAGGGGAACAAGCCAACTGTAACTTTAGCCCATGTACGCTAAGAGATGAGATTGGACACATATGATCGACCCTACCAGTTTTAACGAAAACTAGCACTGAACGGTAGAAGGATCTTGTTGAAACCACAGCACGTTTGTCTGCTCAGTGGCATGAAAGCACAAAGTAAGTTGGGAGTGCCTGGGTTTGGACAATGAAAAAGTCAACGCTAACGGGTAACTTCCTAGCAAAAGTGTCCATGTTAAGTACCTGCAAATTCCGCTGAGCCTTGAGTTCTTCCTCCCGAGTGGAAGCCAGTATGGTTTCCAGGTTCCGTATAGTCCCGATCTCGTGGTCGACCTGTGGCACGGGAATAAGCGGAAATTAGTTGATGCTAAGACCCAGTCCTGGCCGTGGGGGATAAAAGCAGTGTCACAATAAGTAAAGGCCATCCAGTTGATCACTGTGCGCACAGGCGCAGTCGATAGACTCGAGTCGAAACCGTGTCGCAGATGTTGCAAAATGGAGATGAAGTAAGGGCGGAGTTGTTTGTTTCACGCAGCGTACTTTACCAGTGGAATAAACACCAGCGTATCCGCACCACGTGAGTAAAACATAATATCACAAACAGGTGGAACAACAGCGGCCCAATGCACTGGTTCGGTGTGCTACTAGGGTGACCCAGAAATTACAAGAACAAACCACAAGGCACCATAAACATGCACTAAAGTGGAACAACTGCTCAAGAGCACTCAAGAAGAAACAGAAGAGAAAAATACCGAGGTGGTAGGCACCTTATGATAGACTCGTTTTAAAACAAATGAGGTCTAAACGAGCTGGTGTCCCGCAATTATTTCGTGCGATTTTCTGGGTTGTCTCATTTTGATGTGGATATGGACGAAAAGTTTATAATTCTCCCATGTTCTAAGGTTGTTTACCAAACCAAATTCTTTCTTTTTCACTGTGCAAAAATATACTAACCCCTTTCCTTCTTAACGTCTACTCTAAGCAATTCGCACTATAGTGACGTAAAAAGCAATCGATTGCCTACACAGATTTGCCCATAATCCTATCATTTTCACCAATCTGTTCAGTTCAATACCATTGTTGTACGTATAGATCAGCATACAACATTCATATTTGAATGCAGATGCGAAGATAAAATAAAGCGAGTGTTATAATGGAGCACAACAGTAGAAATGAACAGAGGTGCGGTGTTGACCTGCTTTCGCAAGCTGCAAACTTCGCGCTCCGCCTCAGCCAGTTGGGCCTTCAGTTGTCCCGTTTCCAGATTACTTGTAGTGACAAACTGCTGATGGATGCGGGACTGATGCTCAAGATGATCACAAAGTGCGCGGACATCGGATATTTCACGGTGGACATCCTCGTTTTCTGCTTGAAGGCGGCGAACCCGTTCTTCAGACTCGGAAGCAGCACGGCTAAACAGGGCACACTGAGAAACGGAGCAGACAGATCGCGTAAGCAGAGATAGAAAGAGGAACAAAGAACAAAAACATGAGTGAGACAGTGCAACAAGTACCTGAGATTCAAGGGTACCAACAACCTCTTGGTAGTCCGCTATTTCCTTGCGCATCGCATCAACCTGGCGCCGCAAAGAGGCTGCTTCCTGTTCCCGAATCGAACAAGTGTGCTGTACGTCCCTCATTTGGCTCTCCAAACGTTCGACACAGTCAGCCTTATCGTTCAGCTCTAAGGTTAGCGCCCTGTTGGGGAGTGAGGTTTACAGCGGTATCACTGATAGAGGATGCAATGTCGACATAGCGGAAAACAATTAATAACTCAAAAGGAAAAGATTAGACGAAATCCGCAAGGTACAATGCACGGTGCGAAACGCATGAGGACAAACGCGCATTGTACAATATCACATGACCCATCTCCTGATTCACAATGAGGCTTGTACTCTCAAAGTACAGGCCCCAGCACAGTAAACTGAATCATCCAGAGCAGCACACTGGTTCATGTGTTTATGTAGTCAAAAGGAGGTTCCCGTGGATTGCAACGGGTATTGGCAACAAGTGGGTAGAAATGTATTACTGAACTTGGTAATACGCTGAACTGTGACACTACCGAGATACTCAGCTCAAATAACAGATAATTTTGTGCCACCAATCAGTGAAAGGCGGATGTACCTGATGGCAGTGTATGAGAGGCGGGTAAGTCCACTCAAACGATTCCTTGGTAGCTAGGTGAAGCTGCTAACAAGTATGTTCCGCCTGAGTTGAGTGATTTTCTGCCGTAAGTGAATTCACGCAAAGAATGTGTTGTATACACTCTGAAACGGTCGATATTTGGCTGCTTGGTGCTGAAATACTCACAATGGATGGGACCCGACTGTGAGTCCAAAGCGCACAGGTAAGAAAGCCGTATGTGAACCAGAGTGGAAATTAATGATTTTATTTACTTCCAAAATACTAGGGCGCATGAGTTTGTTAATCCGTTTAAACAACCCTATGACTTGAGTTCGCGGAGCAGCAACTGACTAACTCACACGGAGAAATGTACTAACGATGGGCTAATTGCACTGGACAATCCAGATAAGATGAAGTGGAGTTGGATCATACTGAATCAGGAGGGAAATGGAAGCCGTACGAAATCTAGAACAAGCAGAATAAGAAGTGCAGTGGCCGAATCAAGGTCCAAGACTAGACAAGTTAAGCACTATATACCCGGATGGGTGCATTTACAGTATTTTACACTATCAACTGCAGATGAATTAAAACAACTTAAGCAAATATGCAAACTTTCACAAAAGGAAAAGGTGATGGGAAAAGGGGGTGCACAGGATCACTCGGGAAAACACTCCTGTATCCTTGAGCAACTATGGTATGTTATTGGGGAGAATAACCATGATTCCATCCGGTTGATGCGACGAAGTTTAAGCAAGGTATTGCTTGACAACTGGTAAATTATATATATACATATATATATATATATATATATATATATATATATATATATATATATAGAACACGGCCAACAGTACAATTGGCAGAGTGCCACAGCGTATGACACAAATATAATAACAACAAAGAAATAGAGAGGGTAAAAAATGTAAAACTGTAGTCATGCGGATAGAGTCTCTATTGCTCACGGTTTCTTTGCATGTCCCATAGGGTTTCCAGCCCGGTTGCGCCCGCAACCGGGGAATCGAGTGCGTTCGACCGCGGCCAAATGTAAAGTCAACGCCTCTATACTGTTGGCACAAGTCATTCGTTGGTCACCTTGTATTTGCTTCCAGCCGACATCTGTGCGCGCAAAGTATGCAAGATGAGGCAAACGCTCAACAGGCATGCGAAGCACGTGCCCAAGCCACCGAAGCCTATGTAGTGAAATTATACAGCCCAGCGGCCGACAAAGTCTATCTGATTTGAAAATCCTTTGGCGAACATCCTCATTACTAATGTGGTGTTGCCACCGTACAGCAGCAATGCTCCGAAGGCAGTGATGATCAAAGACAGGCAGCCTCTAAAGGTCCTTTGCGCGAACAGGCCAAGTCTCACAACCGTTGATCAGGACCGCACTCACCGTGGCTTGCGTAGTGTTCCTACTCATATTTCCCAAATGGTTTAACCAAAAGAATTTGTCAAAGCATTCCTACACAGTAGATAGAGTTAAAACGAAGTATCCGCGAAAACGGCAACCGAGTTTAGAAGCACTGCCACGACAACAGCAGAATTATGAAAGCTACCCTGACTACTGTGTAAGATTTCGTGAAATCATGGGAGTGCGGTTCAAGCTGGATCACATGCGGATTCGCGCAGGCTAGTCTACAAGGTTGGCCTCGTCTACATCAAATGAGTGATATTCAAGCACTTTAATAATCGTGCAAATTTATTGATTGGCAGAAGAGGAGTTAACACGCTTAATGAGTTGACTGTTGCTGCTTTCCGCAGCTCACGGGCTATTGAGTATGCCGTGATGTAATGTAAGATGGCAAGAGGAAAGGTATGGTGGGTAAGTGGGGGAAACGCGGAATGTAGTCTGTGGAGGTACCGACGAATAATGTTTGATCCATCAAATCTACATTTGGATGTGGTTAGGTGCGAAGATAGAAGAATGTTGTCGACCAGAATGCGATGACGTAGGTCGGTAGACCGGACTAGGGCAAAAACTACGAAAAGAATGATGGAATGCATTAAAAGTGACTGATCTAAATCACGCGACCGCATATCAGGCTTGTCATGTTACACGAATACTGCAATTTGCCGTGTAAATTGTACCAAGAAAAATGAAAGGACTACATAAGGAAGACTACACTGACCGGTATTGCTTCAGCAGATTTATTCTCTCTTGTTCGGTGTGTGATGACATCTCCTTGGAGACAGCGAGCTCTGCGTTAGAAGCATCAAGGCGGCTCTGTAAATCCGATAGCTTCTCAGACTCCATTCTCAATTGGGTGCATAAATGTTGTGATTCATTCACAGCCGCACCAAGATCATTCTAAAGGTGAAATGGCAGAAGCAAGAAGATAAATAAAACAAAAGAATCAAGACTCGCAGCAATTACCTTGATAATAAAGGAGAACGGAAGCAAAGAGACCAAGATAGAATTATAGCTTCTGACAGTGATGAAAACGGCAGAAAAGAGGACTTATACATGCGAGTTGTTGAGGGCGCTCATTTGTCAGAGCAATGAGACAAGCAATGTTCCATGCACGGACACACAAGGCTGCGCATATATATATATATATCTTGTTGGCGGCATGCGCTTCCGGATTTGCCTGTCACTGTGGCCAGTAACAAGGCGCCTACGGCCACAGAGGGATTATGAGTGGCATGTACTGCACCATCCACAACTCCAACCACAGACCCAATATTCAGTGTAAATCCGAAGGAATAAGACCGGGAGGCATGTGGATGGGAGCCACGTTTCATCAACGGAGCCGGCCCACACTCCTTCACAAGCAAACACAAGCACGCTGTATTTGGGAATCAAGCGCACACAAGGCGGTGGCTGGACCGTAGTCCGCTCCACACTGAGTGCATGGAACCACTCTTCGAGCCTAGCACGACCATAAGGACCGTGCACCCCGTCCCCTCCAGCAATGACCGACTATCTAGAGACAGTATGGACGAGATAGTGGGTAATAGACAGGTAGGCACCTTGTCAACATGCACATCAAGCGCAGCAGCACCGGGGATGTCAACCAACAGCAAATCACTTGAAATAACAGTAACGAATAGAATATATCTGTTAAAGAATACGGCTATGCAGACATAACTCTTCCCTAAATTAGCATATGAAGTATGTTGGTTAGCAACGAATACGCGATAAGTAAAAAATGCCCAGAAGTGACTCAGAAAATGCTACAAATGGAATAAAGTTAACGGAGATAAGCACAATTACCGTCAGCAACGTGGAAATTTAATAGAAGATTATTCCGGCAGGCAGGGCTGGCTTGCCGAACAACCTCCTCGTGGTGCCAGCTGGGTGGTTCGGGATTTTCCCGTTCCAGCAAATGGTTCGGCGGCAGTGTTCCAGGACGTGGTGGGTTTTCGCCTGGCAAGCGTTCTCCCTATAAAAAACCACATATGTCCGTTTAACAACACTGTGACGTGGCAGACGTGACTCGCCACTAAATAAAGTCACTGCCCCTTGCTTCATCCTGGCGAAGCATTGTATTCCAGCAATCTTATGCTGTACTTCTAGGGAGCATTGGGCCCCTGTTTGACAAAGGAACAAACGGAAGGCGTATGAACTGAGCAGTCAGTCACCGGCTCCCAATGGGCGCGATTCCCTTAATTCGCTCCGCTGCCTTGCGGGCAGGCTATTAAGCCAAAGGCTCGGGGTGGTGTCCCCTAAGTCAACACCCTACTTCGGCTTGGGCAACCGGGTAGTATCTCGCCCTCTGAGGAAACCATGGACATTGTTGTGTTGTGTTTTATTTTACTGTTTCTGTACCTTCGTTTGAATCCCATGGTTTCTGATGGCATTATGTCTGTTAACAGACTTTTGCAAATATACCGGCAGGCAGAACAAATCAAATGAAGTGAAATGAAATTTATCCAGTTTAAAAAGAGACTTGGTTTAAGTGTATGTTGGTTTAGCCCAACTGCAGTGAAGAAGCATCATGAATGCAACATCAGCCTCAGCATGGGGCAAATCTCGTGCATATATGGTTGGCGGCATCCGGTTTCGGATTTGCCTGTCACTGTGGCCATAGGACGCCTGCGCCTACAGAGGGACCATGGGTGGCTTGCGCTGCATCATCCACAGCTCCAACCACATACCCCATATCCAGTGTAAACCCGAAGGAATAAGACCGGGAGGCATGTGGATGGGAGCCACATTTCATCAACGGAGTCGGGCCACACTCCTTCACACGCAAACACAAGCACACTGTATTTGGGAATCAAGCGCACACAAGGCCGTGGCTGGACCGTAGTCCGCTCCACACTGAGTGCATGGAACCACTCTTCGAGCCTAGCACGACCACAAGGACCGTGCACCCCGTCCCCTCTAGTAACGACCAACTGTCTCTTGGAGCCAGTATGGACGGGGTAGTGGGCACCTTGTAGGCACCTTGTCAACATGCACATCAAGCGCAGCCACACCGGGGATGTCAAACAACAACTAATCACTTGAAGTGACGATATCAAGTAAAATAAAGCGAATAATGCATACAGATACGGAGACAGAACTCTTCACTAAATAAGCATATGAAATATATTGGTTGCAAAAAAAACCCGCGAAGGGTTCAATACTTCAGAAAATATATGTTGAGAAAATACCACAACCGCAAAAATGTTACCGAAATTAACTACAATTAGCTTAAGCGACGTGTGCAAGTTTATAGAAGATAGTTTAAGTAGACATTAATATGAGAAATAAGGCATTAAGACAATATAGCAAACTCACCATCTGAAATAAATAGACTAAGCATGCAAGCACGCGGTTAGTAAATCGAATGCACAGTACCTAAAATCTCTGCGCCGGTTCTGCCTACATTCTCTGCAGGACCAGTCGTCGCTTCAGTGGTGGCCTCCGTATGCTCGCACGCAGCCCGAAGTTTAATGGTAAATGGCACGGAGAATGCTGATGTACTTCGCAGGTACTCCCCTCTTCAGTAAGCAGTCCCAAAGAGCCACTCTGTCAACAGAATCAAACGCGGCTCGAATGTCCAAGAATATGACTGAACGTATGGCGATGTGCAAGTATCTGGCGGATCGTAAAGATGTGGTCGACGCAACTACGATTTGGACGGAATCCAGCTTGTTGTTCGCGGTGGTGCTGTTCCCGTACGCAACTGAGCCACCGTAGCGAACAGCTTGGATGCAACACAAATGAGACTGATGCCATGATGGTTGGAGCAAATCGTCCGGTCTCCTTTTTTATAAACAGGTTCCACATCCGCTAAATTTCAGTCAGATGGAATGGTTTCAGTAGTCCAAATCTGATGGAAGAGAGAAGTCAGTTCGCGAGTGAGAACTGGACCTCATATTTGAAGAGGGCAGGAAGAAGTTCATCTGAGCCAGATGACTTGTGGCGCATCAGTAAGGGAAGCTCAAAGGAACACTCAGCCTCAGTCGGTGGAGAAACATCCACGAACAACGGAGCACTGTGAACCCCCGGAATATGGACTCGGTTGCGCGGGTGGTTAGTTGAAATGATCTTCAAAGTGCTCTGCCCATCGTACCAGACGACGGTGAATTAGTTCCCCGTCGTTTTCTTTCAAAATCTCATCCACTGGTGGCCTTCTGCCTTCCGTGGAGCGAATAAGTTGGGAGAGTTTGCGAGAGTTTCCTGATGAGGCTGCCCGCTCCATCTCAACGACGCGCTGCGTCCCCAAAATCCCGCGGTCCTTCCTGAGGAGCTGTCTGAGCTCAGCAGCCGTGGCTTGGCGTAGTGTGTTGCACTCAACTCCGGCGAGAATAGTTCAACGACTTTCCATGAATTGGTGAGACTGTGCAGAGATCCAATGACTAGCAGCTTGTCTAGTAAAACCACAGACCAGGGTAGCGGACTTCCGTAAGGAGCTCTGGATCTGTGCCCAGTGTGTCTCAACAACGGAGGATAGAGAACGCAAGTCGGAGGCTAATGTGTTCTGAAATGCGCCGAGAACATTTGGGGCGGCGAGCTTGTCTGTGTCAAGCCGTTTCCTGCGACGCTGTTGGGTGCCTACAAAGTTCAGAATGAACTCAGCACACACGAGCGCATGATCGGAAGTAAGTTAGGTGTTCCAAATTGATTTGCAGTCCGTTATGCAGCCTCGCCAACGGTAACTAAGAGCGATGCGGTCAATCTGTGTTCAAGTTTGACCAAACGCCGGAGGTCGCCAGCTGGCTCGTTGGCACCAGGAACATAGGAAATTGGTGCTGGGAAGGAACAAGCCGAAATCGGCGCACAGTTGGAAAAGTCGATCGCCATTGTCCTTCCTGCGATTACCGTGGCTGTGTTGACCCCCAAGTTCGCGCTCATGAACCTCTAGTCTACCGACCTGCGCATTTAGGTCTCTGGCGAGCATCACGATGTGCGTGCGGCGTTTCTTGCGGAGGAGATCGGTGAGTTGGCGGTAGAACTCGTCTTTAGCTTCGTTCGGGCTGCAGCCCATTAAAGAGTACGCCGCCACAATGGATAAGCCACGCCTACTGGTCCCGTGGCTGGAAGACCGCCCTTAGCTTTCCAAGCGGGTTGCATAAAGACGGCTGTTGACCGGGAAACAGTCAATGAGGGCTGCCTCAGCACGCGCGCTTAACACAACTCCTACGCCGGAGCAAACAGAGACTGCCGTTGTCGCATCTCCAGATAAGCGCAAGGTGAATGTGCAATTGAAAGTTGGAGATGGTGAGAGCAATCGCAACGTTGTGCTGGGGTTTTGTGAATGGGTTTCGGTTAGGCAGCAAAGGTCGATTAAGAGGGTTTCCAAAGTGCGCAGCTTGTGAACCAACCCGCATGAGCGTTTAAACATTGAACGTAGATAGCCTGAAGAGCGAGCGCCGTGCAAGAAAAGTCTTGCTGTTGGTATTGGAATGTGTGCGATCGGTTTTGAGCGGTGCATTGATGAGCCCAAAGGTACCGATTTTATTTGCAATGTACGTTTGGAGATTTGAAATTGGGTGGGGGCTGCTAAGAGCAGGGGTTGAATGAACGTGGAACGAAGAACGTGGGTTGCGGTACGGTGGAATGGGGTGTAGTATGCTCGGACGCCAGTACCTCGGTCAAAGAAGAGTTCAGAGAGCGAGAAACGTGAGCAGAGTCGTAAATCCATCATTTATGTGTTGTGTGGTCCGGTTGCCCAGGCCGAGGAAAGGGATTGACTTAGGGGTCCCACCTGGAGCATTGGGTCATAGGCACCTGACCTGCAAGGCAACTAGGCGAATTCAGGGAATCGCGACCATTCGCAGCTCGGTTCATACGTCTTTCTTTTTGCTGGATGTCAAACAGGGGCCCAATACTCTTATTAATTCGGCGTCAATATGAAGGATTACAATGCTGCAGCGAGGTGAAACAAGGGTCAGTGACTTTATCTCGTGGCGAGGCACATCCGCCACGTCGCAGTGTTCTTAAACGGACATATGTGGTTTTTATAAGGAGAACGCTTGTCAGGTGAAAACCCGCCACGTCCTGGAACACTGCCGCCGAGCCTTTCGCTGGAACAGGATAATCCCGAACCACCCAGCTGGTACCATGAGGTAGTTTGGCCGGTAGCCGAGTAGTCTGCACGCTTGGTTAGTAACCATAAGGTCACCGGTTCGAATCCGCGGAGAGGTGGGCATCATCGCGGTATACTCAGCCAGCGCGCGACTGGTGGTGGTCGCACGACAGCGAAGCGCCGTTAGGGCGTACAGCTGAGATTATTATTTGTGTAGATAAATAGGTTCACCGAGTTGAGGTCTTCAACAAACAGAGGGTTATTGGAGAACAACTAGCTACCTGATGTCATTGATCTGAGAAGACGAAATAAAGGAAATGGAGACGGTTGACCAGTTCACTCCAAATAGGAGACTGCGCTGTATAGCTTTAGCGGGGAACAAGCACAAAGTTGGGTCAGTGGCCTGCCTTGTAGTCAGGTCACCTGTGCGAAGCCGCGTAGGTGCGGGCGAACTCGCAGTATATTCAGCCCGCGTGCAACTGTTGGTGGTCGCGTGGCAGCGAAGCGTAAGTACGGTGTGCAGGCGTACTGCCGAGGACTTCTTTCTTTGTTCCGCTGCAAGCGTCCATCAACAATTTAAGTAGAGTAAAATCAGACTAAATCGAACTTCTGGTGTAGCCAAAGTTGTTACGTACAGAACTCCCACAGGAGAGGGGACTAGCTAATTTGGCATGATTCAGGGATTACCGAGACTGCATCGATGATTAGGCGTGTTCGTCTAAGAGGTAGAAATGTACAAACAATGTCCCCCAGAAAAGTATATACCATTAACCAGACCAGAACGACTTATACGGATTTCTAGTGCAGTCGACCGTTGTTTTCACTATAAAGCCGGAAATGAGCGAGCGAGCGGATGTCGGTAGGGGAAGAAGATACTAGCCAAGCAGTGGATCCCGGCTGGGTGTAACACACTTGGGAGTGGAGTATTCGTTAGAATTGAAGCTGAACAGCACGTGGCAGTATTTGTCCGCGGCCAAGACCGCAACTGAAGACAGAATGTGTTTACCGAGACCGAATCGACACTGAACACCTACGGCTGAAACCCCGTCAGTACATGACTATCAACCTGCAACACGTGGATGCAAGTAGCCGACAGACACATGAGAGATGCAAGCAGCACGGTGACGTGATTTCGTAAAATCGATTGCGGCCCAACATCAGTGTCCACCCTATAGCGTATCTCCGAAAGTGGGAGATTTCAGCACGGGTCATGGGGATGACGAAAACGAAGAAGGACGAGACGGCCGATGATGGGAAGTAATAAACGCAGAAAAAGTAGAAAATGGCGAGTATACAAAAAGGAATGTACAGAAGTAAAAATGATGCTCACTTTGACTTGCTGCGTTTCAAGGTTAGCATGTCCTAGAGCTTCCTTGGCTTGCTTTAACTCTACCTCCAAGAAAGCCGCGCGCTCACTCAACTCCCGGAACTCGGCATCCTTTTGTACCACCGATTTGGAGAGACGCAGTGCACGTTGCTCAAACGTCTGACTTGATTTCTGTAAATGAAAGAAGATGATCATAAGTGATGTAAGGTAGCAAGATTTGCTGCTCAAAATCTATGATATATGGATAGGCTTGAATCGTTCTGAAAAAGCAGTATTCGATGTTGTCTAGCTCAGTCATTTAGGTATTTTGCCTCTTACGGGTTCTGTCAAGAAGAAGGCTTCAAACGAGGTTGGAGATATAATGTATGTTCCCAAGTTATGAAATGCCACGAGAATGCGCTCATACATGTGAAATAGAAAGCAAGAGCTGGCAGTCGTCTTTGACAGCAGTGGAGACACTGAGAGCGTGTATGGGTGCGCTTTCAAGTACGCCGAATGAGCGCGTCGTTAGTGAGCGGTTGAAACCTAACTGAATGAGAGGCTAGTGACTTTATCCAACGTGAGCCATGACAAATACACTATTAGATACGCTGGTTCGCTGTCTGTGTGAGGGAGTGAACATTCTTAGGCACATCATGGGGTTGCGTTGAAGTGCGCCGACGATGGTGCCCAAATTATAGTTTCAAGTAACCAAATGGAAGTTAAGTTGTACGTACACTCGATCAGCCGTTGGCCGAGTGGTCTGCGCGCCTGGTTTGCAACCATAAGGTCCCCGGTTCGAATCCGTGTAGTGGTGAGCGTCCTCGCGGTATACTCAGCCCGCACGTGACTGGTGGTGGTCGCGAAGCGCCGTTGCAGCGTACAGCTTACACCTTATTTTTTTTACTCATCGTCAATCGCGCCGAAAATTAGAGGATGGTGGTGTCCAACACACTGAGTTGACGTGGCAAGACCGACAGCATGACTGTGGGAGTTCTACAAGGATACGAAACACACAATCACCGATGGAACACAAAAAGATCTAGAGAAGCGGGGCACGACAGAAAGAGGTAACTTACAACATAAGTTAGTCATCAGCAGTACGCCGGCACACTGTATTGAGGCATCGCTGCTAAGCGACCATCAGCGGTCGCGTGTGGGCTGAGTATACTGCGAGGCCGTCCGCCCTTATTCGGATTTGAACCGGTGACCTAAGGATTGCAGACCAGACGTGTCACACACGTTAAACTCTGCGTGTCACGACTGGCAGCGTATTTGATTACGTTCTTCAGATATAACCGAACTGGAGATCGAATCTGGGACACAGAGATTGACGATTGACACTTTCACGATTATACCAGTGAGTTCCGTGGGCGATGTTTATTACATAGGTTAATGGCTTACTGTGGAAACATTTGAAGCATCATCCGTGTGAATGGATTGCGATACTTAATCGCAATCTGGACCGAAATTAGTTTAAAGTGAAACTCAGTCAATTTGGAAACATGAAAAGGTTGGCTGCCCGCAATATTCCACTCCACGATAGGTTCAGAAATCATCAGCCCTCCTCGGGAAGAGATAGCCGAACTGCAACTCGAGCCCGGGACGCAGAGAATACACCAGTATCTTCGGTGTAACTTGAACAATTGGAATAAATGAAAGGGCAGCGTGATTGCCCACAGAGACGACGCATGGTAAACGGGGATAGTAAGGTCACAAACGGTGATGAGTGATGGGTAACTTTGTGTGTGAACGAGGATAGCCATTCCGTGAAGGCAACATGCAGGACCAACAATGCCGTCAAGTTAGGATGCTGGACGACAGTGAGATGCAAGAGTAGCGAGAACGAGTAGAGGCAAAACGGAAACCTATAAAGATAAACCCTAAACCTGTGTAACTGGTGATGTTATCAGTGAGTAGCTAACCGAACGATTCTGAGGACCGCGTTCACTACTGTGAAATCACCAAATGAACATTGGAAGGGTGTCAAGGAGGCAACAATACGAGGTTGTGGATACAAAGTACATGGATGAAGGTCAGATTGATCTGAACTCCTTGACAAACAGACCAGCGGTGTGAACACACTACAAAAGCCAACGGCTTTACAATACGCAGGCCGCCGTATTCAATGTGAAAACAACACAATGTGACCTGAATTGTTTTCACCCTGGTTTCGGCGCTGTGTTATCAAAAACAGCCCCCGGGGTGCCGATAGATTGTGGTTGGTGTGGTAAACTAGGCGATGCCTATGGACGGTCGGAACCTAAGACAGACTCAGTGAGAATGAATAAACTGCTGCGAGAGACCTACTTGGTATTCATGCAGTTGGAGTTCAACCTTCGCGAACTCACGTTCCAATGCGGCACAACGTTCGGTACGCTCGTCCAGTGCCGCTTGAAGTGTATCTTTTTCGCCATCCATTTGGCGTATAGTTCGTCGCAGACGGACTGCTTCCTCCCGTAAACCCTACATGCGACGAGAAGAGCAAGAGGCGAGAACGACACGTAGTTTAGGTCAGAAAACAAACACACAGGTCGGTAGCGTGTTGCAATGGATTCAACCAGTTTGATTATAAGTATAATGCTATAGCACTAGATAAACTGGTTGTGCGCAGTGGCTATGAACTATGCAAAGCATGTTCGGAGAACGATAAGGATGGCATGTCACAGTCTCGAAAGTAGTAGTAATAGTGTGTGAGAAAACAATATTCGTGACAAGATCACCGGTGACAGGTGAGTCATTAGTAATAATAATAAGAATAATAATAATGTGTCAGCTGTATTACAACACCATCTATCACCGTCTGCGCTTTGTATCATAATGGGAATGCGAGCCATGGCACTTCGGAGATCAGGCGATAGTGAACAGAACGCAACCGCATATCGGTCTTGCATAGTTAGCCCCAAAGGACTGAAAACGAAATTATGCCGCTAAAACTACCCATGAACGAAAACGGAATGATTGCTAGGCTATAAATTCTGCCTGCCGGGTAAAGAATACCAATTGACATGTTACATTCTGTGAAAGGACGCAGTTCTCGATGAATGTGATATGACGATTTGCATAGGAAGAGTAGAATGTCGTGATCCATAGGTTTCGTACCATGTGTCCGGTTCCAATGAAAACGGCTCAACCACAACGCGGTACTGATGTGCGCATAAAATGTTGTGCTGCAGCGAATGATATACAGATAAGGAAAAACTGCACGTGTGATGCATGTGCAAGTGTGGATAACGGAAGATAGATATTTAAAGATTCACGGCCATACCGAACCACTCCGTAGCAGGCGCAAACAATCAATGTGACAGCCGCATGAATTTCTCTAAAGCAAGTAGTGGCACATGACTGATTTCAGGTTGAAAATCCCATCGGTGGGTCTCGTCCCTCAATTACCTCTACCGGTGTTCAGCGCGCACGCTTTGAAGCAACTTTGGCGGAGCTCATAGTGGAATATTGCCTGTCTTTTGTAGAATCATTTGGCGTTCCCGCAACGCCTTCCCTTGAAGCTAGGTTTTATCGCGTTTGACGAGGGTTAAGCTGTAACGATTTTGGCGATCTGTGGGTTCGTTCAATAAATCTGCGAAGAGTGTTATCGAAAATTGGCGTTCATGGGCTTCCGCTGATGTCGATTGTTCATCTGTGATCTAGAAAGTATCCAACAGGACTCAATATCTTGGAATATGTTTGGAACCGACTGGGATTTCATGTATTCAAAACCTTCTGAAATCAATTATCCAACAGGACGTGCAGCGATAGATGTGGCGGCAAGATGGTTTGCGCGGAGATTGTTTGATGTCGAGATCGGAGTTGTTTGCAATGACGGACCCAGGTGTCCACACCCAAGGCGACGCCATGCAGTATATCACCTAGGTGGGCCGTCATTGTCGCATGAATCCAACGTGGGTGACAGGCTCGGTAGTCGCGGGCGTATGCCGGGGCTCCAGCGACGAAACTCTTGCGACTAGTTAAGACGGCAGGTCTTGTTGGCGTTTCTTCGGTTGAGATAAACGTTTCATGGGTGGTGCGCAGCTTCCGACTCATTGACGTTTCGGCGTGAGATGGATCTTTTGGAGTTGCTGGAATTTTTGTGGTCTTGTAAGAGATCAGAAACGTTTAAAGACAATCGTCCAAGGTCCCCTCCCCAAGAGCTTTCAAGAGGGCTCTCTTGAAGGTGTCAAGGAAACGCTCCGCTTGACCATTTGACTGGGGTTGGTAAGGTAGTGAGCGGAGGTGTTAAATGTAAGCGAATATTATAGTGCAAGAACGCGGTTACGTATCTGTGCGGAATCACTTGGCGTTCCCGCAAAATAAATACAGAGGCATCACAAATTGCTGAGGTTAACGATAATCGTACGCATTGAACTAAGGGAGAATTCGACATGGTCGCGTACAACGTAGCCTCGAAATGTCTGTTAGAGAACTTGTCCCAATGACGTGGGTGAATACGTCCTGTGTCTGCGAGTCGTTTACATTCAAGCGAACCAGCGTATACGATGTGTACCGGCTGATCTGCCAGCATGCAATAATAAACGATGCCTGGAGGAATGTTGATCGGTCTGGACGGTAGACTGCTGCCAGATATGCGCGAGAAGATACATCAATATCATCATTATACATCTCAGCTAGAGGTGGAATACACTACAGCTACTATGCCGCAATCCGTAAGAGAAAAAAAAGAAAAACAGATGCACCTCAGCTGAGCTATCAGTAACGGATGAGCATCGTTCCGGAAAGCTACCAGCCGGCTAGTATGTAGTGAAAAAATTTATTATGCAAAATTATTTAAGGCTAAGTAGTGATATCGTGGCTGGAGGGGGAGACTAAGAGGGATGGGGAGGGCCAAAAGAACGCAAAGCACGAACGCCATTGAAGTCGGCTCGTAGCCATGTCAGCAAGTGTATCAAGTCTTTCGGACCCCAACCTGGGAACCAAGAGGCTCCAAACGACGCCAGCTTTAAAGTGAGGGCCTTCATCCCTCTTGACCAAGTCATCAGTTGGCCACCTCTCCTTTCAATCCACACCCTTGGTGCGCAAGCAACGCACGTTGTGGGAGTCGGTGGGCTGGCATGGGTAACACGTGGCCGAACCAGCGGAGCCTGGCGCGTGAAATAAAACATACAGAATATACACGTCAGCTAGAGGTGGGAAACACCTCAGCTACTGTGCCGTAATACCTAAAAGAAAAAGGAGAATAAAATGAAACAGGTGCAAGCCAGCTGAGCTACCGGTAACGGATGGGCATCGCTCCGGTAAGCTACCAGCCGGCTACTATGCAGCAGAAAAAAAATAATTTACTATGCAAAATTATAAAATGCTAAATAATGAGATCGTGGTTGGAGGGGGAGGCTAAGAGGGATGGGGTGGGACAAAGAAACTCACAGCAAGAACGCCATTGAGGTCGGCTCCTAGCCATATCAATAAGTGTATCCAGCCAAAGGTGTTCATCCTCTTTCGGACCTCAACCATGGAGCCGTGAAGCTCCAACTGAGCCCAGCTTCGAAGTGAGGGCCTTCATTCCTCTCGACCAAGTCATCGCTTGGCCACCTCTCCTTTTCTTTCATCCACACCCCTGGCGTGCAAACAACGCACGTCGCGGGAGTCTGTGGCCTGGCATGCGTAACACGTGGTAGAGCCATCAAAGCCTGGTGCGTGAAATAACGGTGCCGAGCGGTTCATTTCCTTTCCTGTGCCTTAAACAAGGCGTCGAACAAGCTCGTTGCTCACGCGTTGTTCCCACCAGACGTAAACTAAATTGCGAGGGCACCGAATCTCGAACGTAACTAGCCTCGTTATGTCTGCTGATCTAAGGAGAAAGGTTTCACAAGCGTACAGTAGGGTCGAACGTACCGCTGCATTGTACACTCTAACCTTTAGGGCGACAGTGATGTCGCGCCGGCGCCATAAGTGGCGAAGATTAGTAAAAGCGTCTCGAGCTTTTGCTATACGGTTCGTGATCTCATCTGCAATCCCACGGGAGCTGATACAACTTCCCAGGTAGTTGAAATTTTGAACGACTTCTAGCTGATCCCCACCAAGGGAAAGGCGCGGGAGGTAGTCCATGCCAATCTTGGATGAACGCTTTGCACTTCGATGGTGCAAAGCAAAGCCCGAAACGGTTGACAGCCAGTGCTAATCTGTCCAGTGCCGCTTGGCACGTCTGGGAGCTGTCACAGAATAGGGAAATATCATCAGCATACTCCAAGTCAAGAAGTCGTTTTCCTGGGAACAGATCCACATCTACTAAGTCGTGTCCTGGGAACGCGATTTTCATGATTTCGTCAATAGCGAAATTGAAGAGGAAAGGAGAGAGCGGACATCCTTGTCTCACACCGCTGGATATATTGAAGGGCGACGACAGCTTGCCGCAAGCCTTCAGTCTGCCTGAGCTAACCGCGTACAGTGATCGGATAATATTTACATATGTCTCAGGTACACCTTTCCTGAGTAGACAATTCTAAAGGGCACATCGATCAACCGAATCGAAGGCACCTTTGATGTCGAGGAACACGACTACGGTGGGCCGCCAATATATGTGACGGTGCCCCAACAACTGACGCAAAGTGAAGTTGTGGTCAATGCAGCCACGACCTCGATGAAACACGGCTTGCACTTCACGAATATGGCTTTCACAAGTGCCAGTCAGTCTGTGAAGGATTATAGAGGCAAGCAATTTGGAGGCGATGGAGATCAGACTGATTTCTCCATAGTTGCCGAATTCCGCTCGTGAGCCACCCTTGAAAATTTGGAGACTGACGGAACGGCTTCAGTCGGTTGGGACAGCTTTCTGCACCCACAGTTTCACTAGTATCTCGTGAAAATCATTCATAAGAGCAGGTCCTCCGAATTTGAAGAGGGCTAGAGAAAGATAATCTGGTCCTGCGGTTTTATTCAACTTCAACAGTCCGATCTCACTTGCGACTTCTGAGCGTGAGGGCGGATCCACACAGACAGACCACGGGCAGGGTGATCAGTGACCAGGGAAAAAGCTGACAACTCTGCGTGATCAAATTGCCTTTCAAAGTGCTCAGTCCAACGCTCCAAGCGTTTTGACAAATTGTGGATGGTCTGTCCACTCTCGTCACGTATAGTTTCACTAACACCAGGTCTCCTGCTGCCCGTTTCCCGTATCAGACGGAATAACTTACGATGGTTACCAAGGGCAGCGGCCATTTCCATCTCTGATGCACGATGAGACCACCAGGATTCGCGGTCTCTCTTCAGGCTAGCACGGAGTTTTGCCCGGAGTTTTCTGCGAGTTTCATTGTGTTCGCTTCCAGCCGGAATATGCCGGCGAGCATCGATAAGTTCCAGAGACTGCGAAGAGACCCAATGTCCATGTTGGCGATTAGACTTAGCACATGAGGATTTTCCTGCTGCTAGGAAGGCCTGGTGAATATGAGACCAGTGAGCTTCAATTGCATCCAGTGAGCGCTTACTCAACTCGCATGACAGCGTACTTCGATAGGCATTCAGAACAGCTGGCTTTGCCAGTTGGCTGGTGTCAATGCGCTTACAAAGTCGTCGTGGGCGTCCGCCAAAACGCATCCGCACGTCAGCACATACAAGTGCATGGTCGGTGTCCACACATGTGCCCCAATTCGAGCGACAGTTTGGGACGCAGCCTCTCAAGCGGTAATTGATCGCAATGTGATTGATTTGCGTCCGTAGCCGGTTCGACGCTGGCGGGTGCTGTGTCGGAAGCTAGTGCTCGCAAGAAATAAGCGAGCATCTTCACACAAATGGAGTAAACCCTTACGGTTATCGTTACGAGAGCTAACATCATGTTGGCCGCTCCAGATGCAGTTCAATAGTGGATACCTTGAGGGTTAATATCCCTAGCCAGCATTACAGTGTCCGTGCTACTTCTGCGGCGAAGGAGCTCGTTTAGTTGTCGATAGAAGTCGTCTTTTATCGAACCATCACTAGAGTTTGTGGATGCATAGGCAGGGATGACGAATAGACACCTATCAGTCTCGCGAGCCAGCCAAGCCGGCTACTGATTGGAATGCAATAAACCAGAGCAGGTTCAGCCCGCGGACTCAGGACAATACCAACACCGCCTGGGCCGGTGCTCGAAGCTGCATCGTCACCGGATAGGCGCAATGAAAAAGCACTGCTGGTGTCACCTGAGGGGGATCGGAAAGTGAGAACAGTGCTCGAGTCTTGGAGGCGTCTCCGATAAGCAGCACATATCGATCGAGAGGGTCTCTAATGTTCGGGCAAGTGCTGCCTGTTGACCGATTTGTAGCAATGGGCGTACATTGAAGCATGTCAATCCAAAGGATGATCGAGGGCTCCAAATGGAAGCTGATGAACTGGGCTTCACCGCTTGGTTGGACATGAGCTTGTCGACAGGGCAGAACGAACGATCCGCGTTTGTATGAGTTGGATCTAGAGGACAAAAGCCTAGCAAAGGAAGGTGGGGGAGGGCAATACTTAGGAGGTTTAACACGGAGGGAGCTAAAAGTGAAGTTGGAAGGGGATGATAAGGGTGAAAAAGTGCAGGAAGAGGAATAAGCAGACTGTTACTGCTCAAGCCAGCAGTAGCATCGAAACCGCTATCTACCGTGCTCGATGCAGCAGATAAGGCGCCACTAATTATCCTCTGCGACGGCCATAGCATCAAGGAATTGTTTAAGGAAAGGTACAGTGAGATCAAGGATCAATGATCTACATGTCAGAGAAACATCGGTATTTCGAGCCCACGGAGAGAAGCAATGGAGGAATTGCCACTTCATACATTTTGAATGGCTGCAGACAGAGAGGTACATATGACGGTTGTCATCATAACACAGACCGCTAGGTTTAAAGATACACTCTTCCAGAGCATACCGCACGAGGTATCGCAAATAATACGAGAAGACAACACGTATCACTTTCCCATGGGAGGAAACACCATACAAGTAAGAACCCAAGAAGTCCTTAAACCTGAAATTATCGTTCAGTATGGAAAAAGTGCAACGCATATTGTTTTCTGTATGACGATGAGAGTCAGTCTAGCTTTATGACAGACGGAGAAGAGAAAAGAAAAGTTAGTTACTGCAAGCACATACTTCACATTCCATTTGAACCTCATTTAGCCGCGTCTGAATCGTCTGAAGGTTGCGTTCAACTGTTTTTAGCCGATGATCATTCGCTTTGGACTGTTCGAGACAATCAATGCGATCCAACTGAAAAGCGAGTGGGACGGAATAGATGAAGCGCAATTCATCCGATTGTGTGAGTGGGAAACAACAGTTATTTCAAGGGTGCAAATCAACCCATGAGGTCATGGAAAGAAAAAGACGAATATCGTCTCAAATTTCAAACAGAACAATATTATTCGTGTAAACAACGGAAAATGCGGAAAAGTCAAAATCCAATCGGTTTGATGCAAAGCATGTAACACAGAACGAGAGGGGCTGATCACTCGCATTTTGAGGCATGTAGTACATGCAGCTGGGTACACAGCATGATCCCAGAAAAAAAGCTGAGTCTGGCTATTCCCGATTCGCTCAAGTCGTGTACGATAGCGAGGGTGACAACGCAACGGCGGAGTTGTGAAACACTAGAGGTAGAAGGAAGGGCTTACCAGTTCGCGTCTCTCAGCCTCGAGTGCGTTGACTCGATGAGTCATCTCGGCGGAATGGAGAGCATCATCTTCAGGCGTTTGTTTGTGGCTGTTTAATTCCTTTTCGGCATCATCCAACCGCTGCAGCAACCGTGCCTTTTCGCTTAAGCTTTTCTCCGTGAGATCATGCAAGCGGTCACGTAGAGAATCCCGCTCAGAGGTCATGTGTCGCAACTCATCGACAAGCTGATCTCTATCGCGCTCGAGGCGAAGTAGCATAGAACGAGTAGAGCTTGGAGACGAGTGAACACATTGAGAATGATCAGAAGTGGTGTTGGGCGTAAGAGAACAGTGGGTGACTCGCAATGCTTGATTCCGAGAATCCTCTAATCTTGCCAACTGGTCGCGAGCAGAAGACAGTTCCTTGCGGCTCTAAGTAGAAAATCAGGAGGAAAAATAGAAATGTTTCTATCCAACTGGCGCAGACTGACCGTGAAAAAAGTGGGCAGATAGACACCCTTAAAATCTATGCAGTGATGAGATGCTGGTTTCTCTTGTGGTATCAGTGAAACCAGGACAGGGGAATGAACACCTTTACAATAGTGCAAGAACATGTGATATGCAGTAATGATGTAATACGAGTAAGCGATGATAGTAGTGACCTTTGGCGCCCGGGGCGATGGTAAAAGTTTTGCCTTGACTGAGGGCAGAATAGGGGGCGAAGGTCACACAATCGGCTTCAGGGTAAAGTGCAGATTAGTTGTTGCTGTGATAGATGATCGTTTGGGACACCGAGGTAAATGTAGTGAAGGTGACCACAATGGGACAAATAAGGGGATCGCTGGGTAGAGCGTTTGCACAGGTGTGACACATGGCGCAAAGGTGCAGTTAGTCATACGTAGTGACGATGAGATAATCAAGGGTTGACTTATCCGGAAATTTTGCCCATTGTATTTGGTACCAAGAAAGTAACGGTACTAAAAATGCCGCCCCTGTCACATGTCGTCAGGAGCGGACCGCTCCCCCGCTACCCTTGCTACGCCTCTGGTGGTAACCGAATGTATGCTCCCCGCGGATTCGGATTGATGGAAGTATTGGCAGTACAGATCGTCTTCGGGCTATTTCTAGACTACGTTGCTCAAAGGAAGGTATATAAACTGTGAGCCGTGCACTGGTGCACCAATAGCGATGGCAGCATTCGATACGAACAAAGAACGCTGTGGCTCCTCTACTAGGCTGTGAATCATGGACACTGTAAGGGGCAGAAATATGTCAGTTAAAACAAGTTAAACAGTAAGATGGTGGAGCAGGTTGCGCATCCATCGGTGGAACACCGGAGTAAACACCACGAGCGGCGTGCACAGAAAGGACTGGATTTCGAGGTTACGGTTTCGGTTGTGTTCACTGAATTGCTGAGACTGGAGTACCGGTTGGAAGATCGATCAAGGACGGCACATGATTTAGAAATGGTATCGGCAGTACCGCGGTACGCAGTACCAACGCTTTCCTGCTACGTAACCAACATTTGTCGCGCGTGGGCTAAGGGTCGCCGGGTCCTCTACGCAGGCTCGAACCTGCGAGCTCAGGATTACAAGACAGAGTTGTGATCCTTAAGGCCGAGGGCTGATACATGATTAAGATGGGGTCGCCACGAACCAGAAATTACTTCAGGTGTGGGGAACGGCAGTCGATCGCAAGTAACGCAATGATCGGATGAGGAGGAGCGTCCTCCAGGCGAAGAAGGACCGAAACATTGGGAAAAAGAACTCATGCTACATGAGCGGCAGATGTGCGTTTACACCAACTCATCGCGTTGATGAATTCACTTAGCTTGGCACCTGCGTCAGCAACGATGGGTGCATAAGCACTAAAACCAGTTCACATATAGCAAAAGCTAAAACTGCCTTCCTGTATCTACAACATCTGTGGCGTCAGAAGGTTTCTTGGTCTGAAAGGTCGTGTTTACAAGGGCACAGTGAGAGCCGTTCTACTCAATGGGAGGGAGACTTGGCCCATTCGGTCTGAGGCGCCTTCAAGTCGTTGACCATGGTTGCCTGCGAAGCATTGCTGGGCCGGATGGCATGTCCATGATGATGATGTGTGTAGGTGAGTGCTAGGCAGTGATAACTAAGCTAGTTAGAACAACAGATAGCACCGACTAAGTTGCGTTGGCTTTGGTACATACTAAATGAGCCGGGTCATCGAAGAGAGCCTTGTTTTGTTTGCCAGATATATGGTGGCGCAAAGCACGATGTGGGCAAATACTAAGTTGGCAGTGGGAAATTAGCTTACTGATTACAAACTGGGTACCGTCCGTCTCGTCTCCCAAGCTGGAGTCCACCTGACTCGCCGTGTGTTTGGGTTGAGAGTTTACAGAACATGGCTCGCAGTCGACACTATTGACGCGTTTGCTATTGTTCCGTAGTCGGACTGCCTATTTACCCTGTGTTTGGTGCTGAGTTATCTGCGGGATAATGGCTGATTATGACGAGGGGCAGTGAAAGCTGCTAGTTGACGCCGCCTGATCATTGCAACATAAGAAGTTGATAATGACCGTATGTTGTTGACAAAGTGTAGCGCTTGACCCTGAATGCTTGCATATGGCATTAAGGTTTTACGCTAGGTCCTACTTCTCTTCCACTTTTTATTCTTCATTCTGTAGGTTATTGTGGTTGTGCGGCAGGAAGAGTCAGTTCAAATCGCTGATGTACTGCTGTTGATGATGATGGCTGGCAGACAGGTATGGAATGCAGAAGAGTAAGCAAAATCCTGTATCCATGTACAAATATATATATATATATATATATATATATATATATATATGCAACAGTCTACGAATAGACATAGAGCCACCAGAAACCATGGGACTCAAAAGAAGGTACAGAAATAGTAAAAGAAAACATAACACATTAAAGTCCACGGTTGACGCTTAACGCGTTGACCAATAGGTCACAAAAATTCGCGAAATACATGGGAATGAAAGTTACCTGTTATCGACCAAGGGACGCAGCGGACACAGTACTAACGGGCGGATAAGTGTGCATAGCGACAAGATCACGGATTTGGCGATCACACTGAAATTCAATACCACGTGTCCTAACATAAAACGGGTCCAGCTAATCACCTAATAATGCACTATGAATGGAAGAAATCATACCGAAGCACACTAGTTTCGAAATAAGAGTGTGTAGCCTCAACTTGGGACGAAAAGGGAATATGAGTGCAAGAATAATAACGGAAGAGCAGTGGATTTGACCACAGAGGATGAGCAGGGCAATAAATACCTGCTCAAGTTGTTCGTAAAGCTGGTTGCGTTCCAAAGTCAGAACACGTACGTTGCTCTGTATCTATAATGCGGGAAGAAAGAGGTGAAACGGGGTTAGAATAAATTATGGAACCAATAACAATGCGAAAACAATTGGAAAAAGTGAATACAAAGGACGCATCGATAACCTCGAAGTCCAAAGTCTTTTTCCAAGAATTGCTGATCACACAGTCTCAACTTCGCCTCAAAGACCACATAACAATACACACTTTTGTTGCAACAAAATAGAGTAAACGCATTTAGAAAATGCCGGCGACATCAAAAGGTTGCTGCTTGACAGATCACGAGTTCTTTTGGTATATATGTTATGGCAAGAGCGAAAATGCAAGCTTCAGGTGGTGCAGAAAGGAAGGCGTGTTGGCTTGACGGATAGCGAAGTTCAACGTGATAGCGAGTTACATAATAAAATAAATAAGCTATCTAGCCGAGCAACCTCCCGTGGTGTCAGCTTGGGGGTTCGGATTTACCCGGTTTCAGAAAATAGTTCGGCGGCAGTGTTCCAGGACGTGGTGGGTTTCCTCCTGGCAAACGTTCTCCCTATAAAAAGCCACAAATGTCTGCTTATCAACACTGTGACCTGGTGGATGTGACTCGGCACAAACTAAAGTCACTGCCCCTTGCTTATCCGGATCCATGTATATAACAAAAGAACGTCAACCAAATGTTTCCACATAGGTGATGTAATCCCACAGTCAAAAATGCAGTGGCACCTATACGAACGCAAGCAACACAGCACACACATGGTCGGCAGTATGCCGTTCCGGATTTGCCTGTCACGGTGGCCTCCACAGGACGCCTGCTCCTACAGAGGGACCATCGGTGGCTTGCGTTGCAACAGCCCCAGCTCCATCCACATACCCCAAATGCAACGTTAACCGGAAAGAATAAGAGCGGAATGCATGTGGACTGGAGCCAAATTTCCTCAACTGAGCCGGCTCACACTCCTTCACAGGCAAACACAAGTACGCTGTATTGGGGAATCAATCGCACAAAAGGCGATGGCTGGACCGTAGTCCACTTCACACTGATTGCATGGAACCATTCTTCGAGCCTAGAAGGGCGCACCTAGCAGCGTACCTACAAACGCTGCGTCGGTACTGCCTACGTTCTCAACAGGAGTCTTGGTCATTTTTGTGGTGGCCCCGAGTAGCCTCGCTCATAACTCACTAGGCCTACCTGACTCAGGCACTCGAGACCGCATGTGCTACAGCACCATGCGTTCGATGTCGATGAAGTACACCTCATCCGCGCCTGCCGCTTTTTCACCGCAAGCATTAAGGCTTTCCCTTGCTTCTCGGCAACTGCCTTCGTGATCACATCACGCCATGCACGCCGATCAATCGCATTCGATTCCCATGACCTGCAATCAAGATTGGAACGTGATAGGCTCATTTTGATCATGTCCTGGTAACGAAGCTTCGGTTTCCCACATGCCACTTCCCAACACACAGTTGAGCATGTAATAGCTACTTCGGTATCCACGTCGAACCCACACGCCACACATGACTGAGCCAAAGCAAGTGTCTAAGCAAAAGTATGCAGTATACTGCATACATGCCACATTGACGCTGCACTTCCGTGTCTGCAACTCTGTCGCACCAACCGATGCAGAGAATCGGTCGCAGACACTGTTATTGGAACCGTTCGAGATATCGCACATTTCGCATGTACATCGTCCACGTTTCATTGCTGTATTGAAGAACGAACAGCACCCTGGGTTTGTACACCATCAGCTTCGTGCCAATGGTAAGCTGATGGTTGTTTCACACTCGGTACTTTAGCTTCCCGAATGTCATCTTTGCCTTCGATACGCGGACACGCAGCTCACTGTGTAGCTGCTGGTCAGTCGACATCACACTCCCAAGGTAGCAGAAGCGGGAGGGGGTTTCTAATACTTCAGTACCAATGCTTATTCGCGGTATCATTGTAGATTGCACCTCCGGTGAAGGCTGAAAGAGACAGACAGTTTTGCTTGTGTTGATGGTGAGCCCGAATTTGGCCGCTGTCGAAGCCAGAGCACTAGTCATGTGCTGCAACTCATCCGCGCTGTGTGTAAACAACGCATAGTCGTCAGCAAACAGCAACATACGGATAGTTGTCTCACAGACTAGGGTTCTCGCGCGAAAACGACGGATGTTCAGCAACCCACCATCAATACGGTGCTCCACACGAACACCGTAAGCACAAGCCGCATCAAAAGCACAAGACATCATTGCATGAATATATATATATATATATATATATATATATATATATATATATATATATATATATATATATATATATATTAAACAGGACAGGAGATAAGATACAGCCTTGCCTCACACCAGAGACAACTGCAAACGTATCCGAGGTCTGCCCACTCAGCTGCACCCTCGCCCGAATACCACTGTGTAGACAAACATTTAAACTTACAAAATTCTGGGGGCAACCAAACTTACCCAACACCAGCCACAATGTCTCGCGGGTCACCGTATCAAATGCTTTGGTGAAGTCAACACACGGCGAGTACAACGGCTTGTGTCGCTCACTACACTTCTCCTGCAACTGACGAGTCGCAAACATCATAACTATAGTGTTGCGACCCGAACGGAATCCGCACTGCTCATCCGCCACGATTGGTTTCACTACCTGACCCACGAGGCGGTTGAGCAGAATTCGGCAATCATCTGGCTCACACAACTCAGCAAGTTGATACCATGATAATTTGTGACACATTGATTGATTCCTTTGTCCTTGTACAGTGGTAGCACAAGGGCATTTTTCAGCTTAATAGGCAACTCCTGCTCATTCCACACGCGATGCACCAATTGGTGCAGCGCATTCACCAACTCAGATCCGTCGTGTTTCGATACTTTAGGCGGGATCCCGTCGGCACAGGTACACTAGCCGTTTCGCAGCTGAGCAAGTGCTCTTTGCGTCTCAAACAGTGTCGGCATGTCCGCCAAACTCACCTTTACATCGTGCTGCTTCAGACAATTAAAAAGTAGGTCAGTCGATCTCTGAACGGTTGTTCAAGAGACAGTCAAAGTGTTTCCGCCAGATCTGCATTAAGTCTGCAGTCTGTGAGCAGGCAGCGCCTAAACAACCATCGATTAACGTCCTCAGCGGCTCCAACCACGGTCCATACACCACCTTCAAGGAGTCAAAGAATTCCTTGTGTTGGCGGCGTTCGGCGTAGCATGCCATCTGTTTTACCTTCTCCGTCCACCATGCATGCGATGCAATGCGATGGATCTCTGATGCATTCTTCCCCGACACCAATGCGCTAATCGTCGCATTGTTGTCATCAAACAAATCAGAACACTTACAGTTTGCAAGCCTGATGGTTTTCTCGGCAGCAGCTGTCACCTGGTCGCGAATGTAGGACTATAGGTCGCCCACTGTGGCTACGCATTTCACATCACACAGGCGTGAAGCCATCGCCTTCTTCAGCTCAGTACGTTTCGCCACAGTACCGAGGGAGAGAATGTTAAATTTACGCAGATTCACGGCGGGAGTGCAATACATCGATTTACGAAAATATATGTACAGTTTGGTCTGCACCAATTTGTGATCAGCGCTACGCTCAGCTCCACGCAGTACACGTGTTATGCGCACTTGAAGAATGTCACCCTGACGTATGAGGACACAGTCGAGGAGATGAGTGTGACCACTCCCAGGGTGTGTCCAAGTTGCTATATCACTCTCGCATTCCGTGCAAACCGAGTGTTCGTGATTGTCAGGCCGTGAGTGGCACACAGTGAGAGCAGCCTGTCACCGTTCGCATTCGCTGAACCAATGCCATGCGAACCGATAACATCTGTCCACACGCCAAACGCGCGCGTTGAAATCACCCAGTAGAAATAGTCGGTCGCTCCTCGGCACAGACCGTATCACGGAGGATAGCTGAGTGTCGAATTGATCATGCATGTCATCAGGATGACACATGGTCGGACCGTACGTGCTGATAAAAGTGGCAAAGTTATCTCTTCCGAGTCGTAGGCGAACAGTCATCAGTCGCGCGCTGATACCAGTCGGCTCATCTACCAGCTGGCCACCACCAGTCTCAGCGCACCATAGGCTCTCCCACACATGCATGCACAGCAGTAGCATTCCGGTAGGAAAGCATGCGTACCAGACGTACACAAGGCGGTGGCTGGGCTGTAGTTTGCTTCACACTGAATGGAACCACTCTTTGAGCCTAGCACGGCCACGATGACTGTGAATCCCTTCCCACCAGCAACGATTCACAGTCTCCTGGAGCCCGCAATCGAGGCGGAGGGTGTTAAACAGGTAGGCACCTTGTCAACACATCAAGCGCAGCCACATCGGGGATAGCAAACAGCCAAAATAGAATTTGAGAGAAGGCAACCATGTAAAATTGACGCAGATGTAGCAAAAGAACAGAAATGAACAAATCAAATACAGTGGAATAACTTATCCAGATAAAATAGATCATATAAAGACCTAGGTACATATATACACTCAGATATATGCAGGCACTGTTATGGCAAACATAAATTTTCGTACATTTCGTCATCATTCGTTGTCCTGTTACCATGATAATGCCTGTATAGGTATGCCTCGCGTTGTCGAGAACAAATTATTTATTGATAATTGTTTCCATGGATGCGGCATGGAGTTACGGTATTTCTCAGAGGCATCGTGCCCACGAGTTGTTGCGATTCCAGTACATCCGTTAAGGAGATAAGCGGCCTGCCGTTTCTGGAATTTGGCGATGTTGTTTGTAACCCACTTGAATCTGATGGATAATCTGTGTGTTGGATAAGCGGTGTTTGGGTTCTTGTAGATCAAAGTTGTCAGGGCAGAGAGATCGTATCCAACTAATTGATGGGTTATAATAGCAAACCAATGAAACACTTAAGTATCGGTGCATGGACATGGAGTTACTCGATAGAATCGAGACGGTCTTGTGGATATCCTCACCACATCGATACATACCGGTACTCGTAGACATCATTAGTACGCCAGTACGCAGTACTGGCGTAATGCAGTCGCGCAATCACCAACAGTCGCACGTGGGCTAAGAATACTGCGACGATCACCCGGTAATCTACACAAGGTCGAACCAGAGGCTTCAGGATTACAAGGTAGGTGGTATGTGATCCTTAAGGTCACGGACCAGTGCTCGTGAGGAGCAAAAGGAAAAATATCATTTCAAATGTCCAAAGCTGTGGTCATAATTTAGAAGCGAGTACAGCAGGAATACAAGCCTGTCTAGAATGTGAAAATGGAAGCCGTTAAGGTAGTAGTGGTCACCCGGAGGAAGCTTATTCAAACGATGCGACCGACTCCGACGCAAAGTTTCCATCCGGGATGCTAAGCCACGGAAGTAGGAAGGAATTGTTGTGTGCGCATTCAAAGTTCTGAAGAACTTAAAAGTAATTTTGAAGAAAATAATTACATTACAAGAGATGCGAACTTCCAAAAAAGTGAAGTAATAGGTCGTTTGAGTACCGTAGAAAAATGCTTAGACCATTTCGTACTAAAACAAGTCGACGCCATGAAGCAAACTGACAAAACAACGAAGTGAAACTGGTGAAAAGGGCTAGAAACCAAGGTTGGTTTAGGAGTACCCGTCGTGTGGTTGGATTGTGACACGCAATCTCTACTGAGACCTCGGTTCAGTTTGAATTAGATATCGGTCATTCCGATCACAAGGACTGTATCCAAAATGAAGGTGTTTCGGTGTTGATCCTCCCAACACTGACACTCCATGAAGCATCAGTGTTGGGAGAAGAAACATTGAAACATCTCCATTTCGGATACGGTCCTTGTGGCTGGAAACCAAGTTTACGACCATCGATTTTCGCAATGATAATGTGCCAATGCTTCGATCTTACGATCTCGTGTGACCGCGGAAGGATGCCGTGATAGAAGCCAGAGAGGAACTGGTGTTCTCCAGCGGAAAGGAAAGCCCACATGTCGAAGTAATCGAATGCCTACAATGGCATAGGAGCAATGGGAACAAACTGAAAAGGATGGCTTGCAGGAATGGGGTGGTTCAATGTGCATACGAACCACGGACAGTCTGTAGCTATCATCAGCATACAGTTGCATAACGAACCTCAATTGCATGTATTCCAATTTCATATACGAAGCTTGGGCATTGTGCATATGTCGGGAACATCGAGGCTCATCGAAGGCGCTAGGCAAAGAGCTCAGTTGCCGGTAGCGAAGCAGAATCCGGAGGAGGCCAGGGTGGTAAACCTAATGTAACATCCGCCAGCAACAGAAAAATGCGATCAATGCCGGACGACTAGGGCAGAAAATGTCCTGTATATCATCCAGTGAGTAAAACGGGACCCAATGTCTCGGGGAGTGATACGCCGTCCGCAGTCAGAGGTTCTCGTCACCAGATGGGAGTGGGCGTCCAGTGGCCTATGTTGTGGACGAACTGATAAGTATAGAATACTAGGTTCTTTAAGACCACATATGACTGCATGCAGGTGGTTGTTCCTGTTGCATGTGAAGCGGTCGAGTCGTAATAACTGGCACATTTACGAGTAATCCCTTTTTAGGCTCATCGCCAAGAAACTATCAAGTGGTGAGGAAATCTGTTGCGGCACAAACATACAGGAGTGCATAGAAAATTAAGCTGTGTTAAAAAAGATGATCTGAGAATTCGATGTAGAAGAGTGGCGTCGCTTATCAAGTGACCTCAGTAGTGTAGGCCAACTACGACACACCAATGTTATTACCTGCGTAGATGATGGTAAACGAGCCAGTGGACTGATCCATTCATCTAGACAGCCTCCATTACAAAGCAGGGATTAGGAAGAGCTAAGACATGGGGATTTGAAGTGTGATCGTATAGCGATAGTGTATGAACACATAAAAATATACTGTACAGATTCGGCAGATAAAAAACGATAGACTAGTTATGCGTCAAAGGAATGATGGTACAATGTTACGTTAACCTGCGAAAAAGAAACAACTCTTAGCCCGATTGGAACTCACATCACTCAACTGACGTTCAAATTTGCCCATCAAAGAATGAAGTTTATCACGCTCTTGGCGTAGCCGTGAGACTTCCGTAGAGACATCACCTGAATCACCCTGGGAGTGACGAAATGAATACAAATAAGAGAACGCAAACATCCTGTGACAAGATGAAGAGAAACAAAGTATACATATAAATTTGTGTTGAATGCGCAGCATTTGGATGGCTCCTTATAACAAACTATGCAATACCCAAAAACTACCCGTACTGCAAGTTATGAAAGGAGTGTGTGAGAAGACAATCTAAGTGCAGATTACATTCAACAGGTAGATAAATTCAGGGCAGAATAAATCAAGTAAATGGGAAAGGATTCCCTTCAACATTCATCATACAAATGCAATCTTTATAGGAATCGAGTAGAAACTGTCGAAGTGAAGAGACTGTGGGACATTTGCCTGAGGTACTCGTTAGGCCTGATAGAACAAATGTTGGGGAAACTCATTGGTGATGTGGTAACTCGCCTGCCTGAGCAACAGAGACGACACAAAATAAGGTATAAAATTTATGAAACTAAGAGTATGTGTGGATATCAGCGAGGAAACTGGAGATGCTGTCGGAGAACATTTGTGTCATAAGCAGCCAGATGCGAAATGCGTAATGGAGTGGTAAAAACGGAGACACGGGAGCTCACGAGGTTTCGCTGAATCAAGCTCAGGTGCTTGAGTCGGCCTTGCAAAGAGTTTCGCATACTGTGGCGAGCTGTGTCGAGCAATTGACGATAATGGTCTCTTTCAAGTTGGGTAGATTGAAGCTCAGAGCTAAGGGACTGGAAAACGGTGAAAGAAAATGGGTATGTGATGAAGAAGGCGTTAACCCAATGCACTAACGGAACTAAGATGAACGTCACTGGATCAACTCACGTGCACAATGTGTCTAGAGCGCATTAGGTTAATCTAAGAAGACAAATGAATAGTTAAAAAGTCTAGTGTATAAGCAAGGCAATCCTATTCCTGTACAAATGAGGGTCACCCCGCCGCCGACAGGTCAGGGTTAACAAATATGATATTATTTTCAACTACTTGGTAGTAGTACATCCACAACAAGAGCGGACGAAGAAATTGGTTGAGGTGATGCGTGTGCCAGAACGGATGGGTGGTGAACGGAAAGTCAACGATGTTCTGGATCCTGGGGAGAACGTAATAGGAGGACTGTTAAACAATCTACTTCCCAGCGAGTATAGACCATCAAGACGTCGACAAATATACCTCATTATTATTATTATTTTATTACAAGAGTAACTTGGACCGACGAGCATCAACCGACGAGACGGCAGCCTGCTGTGACCAACACTGCACTGCAAGGGCAGCATCGATGTTGCGCGTAATTTGACATTGCGTTCCAATATCGGTGCTATCTCCACTTGAATTCGCTAGACAGAGAGTGAGTGGGATGGTACATCGCAGACTAAAGAAGTGGTAATGCAAAACAAAGTGACATTCTAAACGTAGTCGTGGAATCCAACGCCCGAGCGGTTGGTGCTGACCGGGCAACCATGAGGTTCGGAGCTCGGGCATCAACAAAGATATTTGTATTCAGGGAACGTGAACAAGAACGAAGCCAGCAGTTGAGTGGGACGTTAAGACCGAGTGGCATCGGAATAGTCCCAGTTTTGGTTACGACTCTAGAAATGGAGCTTAGCAAACTCGTTAGAAATAGATTAGGATTTACCAGCGATTGTGCGAAAAATTCAAAACCGTGGCACACATTGTTGATTACGCAATGTGGTGGATTTCGGTCATGATATGGAATAAAATTAGACTATGTATGCCCTATATATGACCTCATATGACACGTGAACAGTATTGCAGATCGATCTGTCAACTAAGTTCCGAAAACCGGAGCGTAATAGGCCTAAGCATTTTTACTGCCGTTGCTATGATGGTGAATATAACAATCACGTAAAGTGCGGAGTGTGAAAAGATGCTTTACCTCCGGCTCGGTCGATAAATCTAAGGATGCCGAACGACGCTCACATTTCGCACTGGATTGAATCCTGTGAGGCGGAGGAGTGAGGGTCCGTCGTTGCGGAACACACGGAGTTGCTTGACGGGCAACGTCACGCAGATATCCATTGATATGGGAGGGATGAGGCGGTGGTTGTGTCTCCAATAAACCGGTTATCAACTGAGGGTTACAAAACGCCTCAGTGATTTGGCGCAGAGCAGTGATAACGGTATGGGCCTCAAAACGCCAATATTGACAGTCATTTTTTAAACTTTGAATGTGTTTACCATAGGCCTCCTTCAGAGCCTCCAGATGCTTCTCCCGATCATGAAGGCGAGGTGTCCGGGAAACGGCGGTTTTGGCTGTGAGTTCCGTTATTGGCTTAGTCCCTGAGAGGAACCAAATCGAGTAGAGTCTAAACCCCGTAGCCAACGAAGTGCAAAAAAGAACAAAAACCTAATAATCGAACCCCGTAAGACTGGAGGGAATATAAATTAGCAGTTTCCAGTAATGAGGAAAATCCCTGTTGTGCAGATAAGTGGTGCCCAAAAAGCACCTCCCAGATTTGCACCTGTAGGCGAGGGACTCTGATAAAGTTTGGAACCAGATGCATCAAATGGGGAATCGACACACGTGAATTAGAGAAACGGTGGACGAGGGACCTTATATCGGCGATAATAATATGTCTGAACGGAAAATGAACCATTCCGCACAATGCAAAAAGAGCCGCATTACACAGAGAAATAGCATTCTGCCATTGTTTTCATTGTGTCCGTGGTGAGTTTAACAAGTAAACCGTCCTCGACCAGCTCCCGAGACCCAGAGGTTTTGGCGAGATGTGCTGCCAGTGCCGAACGTTACAGCGGTAACCCTAAAAACGTAGATTTAATGTATTAACGCTAAATCTCCAAATACCAATAGAAAGAGGACGGATAATTTAGGAAATTACCGTGGCTGGAACACTACATATTACACGGTTTAATCACATGGGTACCGATGCAAGGAATAGAGGGTAGTCAGAAGTAGAAGCTCTTGCTCTTGTGGGGTAGATGAGAAAGATTACAAGGGGATGGGTTGTGAATGAACAAGTTCGTATGAATCAAAACAACCTCTGTTGTGGAACGCAGGAGGCCAGCAGAACATATAAGACGCTGGGAAAATAGTTGAGATGTAAATAGTTATTATTACTGGACAAACCAAATGAGGTACCGCAAGAGGGAGTGTAAGTGCAGAGAACGCACCAAGTTCAATGGAGAGCAGAGTGAGAAGAACAAGCCAAAGAATAATGGAAGCATATTATGGACGGTTCACAGGTTATCAATGTTGAAGTTTTTGCTTATATTTATGATTAACACCATAGTGTACATGGTTGGCGACATCAGATTTCGAATTTGCCTATCACTGCCGCTACCATCGGAGAGCCACAGCACGCCAGCGGCAACACGGACCATCGGTGGCTTGAGCTGCACCACCCACAGCGCCGTTCATACACCTATATGCAGTGTAGATCCGAAGGAATAAGACCGGGAGGCGTGTGGATGGAAGCCACGTTTCATCAACGGAGTCAACCTAAACGCTTTGGACATATACAGCAGAAGCATTCTTGTTTAACTGGGGAGTCATATGTGCCAGACGTACACAAGGCGGTGGCTGGACAGTAGCCCGCTCCATGCTGAATGGAACCACATTTGGAGCCTACGGGGTCACGGGGACCGTGCACCCGTCTCCTCAAGTTAACGACCAACTGTCACCTGGAGCTAGTATAATCGAGGTAGCGGCTTGTCAACGGGAAGCAAAACTTGTCAACATTCACATCAAGTGCAGCCACACTGGAGATATCAAAAAAGCAAACACATAATCTGAAAGAAAATAAATGCGCATTATGGACAGTAGACGTGCGGCAGCATAACAGAACAATCAAAAACGTGTTAAGTCTGATCTAGTATAAGCGTGATTTTTCGCAAGTGTAAGTGTAGGTTAGAGGATATTAACCAACAAACACCGGAAAGGCAAACAAATGTAACGCGCAAAATAAACAGGAAATATGCGGTGGGCCAGCATAAGTGAGCAATTAAATTAGGATGGATCCAGTCAGATCTAGTGTAATGTAATGTAAGTCACTCTAGCCCAACTGCGGTGAACACCAATAATAAATGCAACATGCATTAAACACTTGAGCAGAATACAACAGGCAGAGTGTAGGTTGCAGATAGCAGGTTGATTCACAAGTTCGCTGAAAAATCTCTACAAACTTAAATTCACAAGAATGTTCGTAGTGCATGAAAATGATACGAAACTAGGCAGTCGATATTAATCCCCTAATGTTCGGTGGCCAAGCGAAGTCCGACTTTTTGCGTCATCGCATAAACAACAACCGACAGTGTTTGGAGGTTGGATGGACGGGGAATACTCCGAGGAGACGGAGGTACGTGTTCGAATGCTCGAAAGTAGAGACGCCAAATGCAAGTAGCACAAGACCTTTTTAAACCATAACCAGAGTAAGTGGTCTACCGAAGTTGTCTGGCAATACCATTTCCCTTAAGAGAAGATGAAACTCCTGTGGAAATAGCTCCTCTTAAGATGTTAATTACATGAAGCTCGTTGCAAGCGCTGCGAAAATTGTATCCACCTCAAAATAACGACGCCTGCTCCATCAGATATAGCAGGAATAGAATTCAGCAATTAGTTTGGTGGAGTTCTATGATGACTGGGAACAACCTCTGGAAATCTGTGCTGTAGGTGGGTCCGTTGGTGGTGAGCACTGGACTAACCAGTACAAACCAGTAGGAATATAATCGAGAAGCTTGCGGATGAAAACTACCAATGTGTAAGAGTCCGTCAGCGTTGCGTCCTCACTCGTGAGATAAGTGAAGCGGAGCCTGCAGACTCCAGATGCGATGTGAACGAATGAAGAGCACGTATAACCGGTGAGCATTCCAACGATGAGAGATTAGTGTCTGGTGGTCAATTGCAAATGAAGAAATGGGGTAGACATTTGACAAACACAAAGCGGCGGTCGAGATCGAATTCGTTTCATGATTCAAGCGACAAATGCCGATAGAGCCGGCAGGAAAATGAAGATATCAAGAGAGGGGAAGTCTATAAGTGGCAAATAAACTGGCTCTGAACTACACATAGGCCAAAGCAGGGATTGAACCCGCCGAAATGCTAATCTGTAAGGGGAGAGATATTTGAGCAGGAGAGTTAGAAGCAGGAAACAAATACTTCAAGTCGATTTAACGGAAATCTATCAACATTCTGATGGAAAGAGCAACGACGCACCACGGTTAGCCAAGGCATCGAGGCGTTTTATAAAGAGTTTTCGGCCGTTGTCAATACCATTTAGGAGCTGTTGAATATGCTTCATATTGTACTGAAAAGGTAAAAGAGAAGTCGCTTGCGATTAGTTGGGTCCCAGTGTACAACAGGCAATATAAACAATAGTCAAGTGACCAATAACACCTCACATACGAGTAAAATCACAATGGCCGGGGAAAAGTATGTAACTGGATTTGCCTGCCAAATGGAGGTCGATTTCAAAAGTATAGGCGAAACAAAGTGTATTTTTAAACATATTCACTTCAACTGATACGGCGGACATCACAGGAATTAGCTGTATAGAACCACAATCATGTTCACGCAACGCAATATATAAATATATATATATATAATATAAATATATAAATAAATATATATATATATATATATATATATACATCTTTGGCGGCATCCGGTTTCGGATTTGCCTGTCACTGTGGCCAGTCACAGGACGTCTGCGCCTACAGAGGGACCATGGGTGGCTTGCGCTGCACTACCCACAGCTCCAACCACACACCCCATATCCAGTGTAAACCCGAAGGAATAAGACCGGGAGGCATGCGGATGGGAGCCACGTTTCATCAACGGAGCCGGCTCACACTCCTTCACACGCAAACACAAGCATGCTGTATTTGGGAAATCAAGCGCACACAAGGCGGTGGCTGGACTGTAGTCCGCTCCACACTGAGTGCATGGAACCCCTCTTCGAGCCTAGCACGACCACAAGGACCGTGTACCCCGTCCCCACCAGCAACGACCAACTGTCTCCTAGAGCCAGTGTGAATGAGGTAGTGGGTAATAGACAGATAGACACCTTGTCAACATGCACACCAAGCGAAGCCACATCGGGGATATCAGGCAACAGCCAATCACTTGAAACGACAAGATGAAATAAAATAAATTCAATAATGCATACAGATACGGTGGCATAACGCTTCGCTAAATTAGTATATGAATTAAGTTGGTTAGCAACGGATCCGCGGTAAGTAGGAAGTGTCTACAAGTTACTTAAAAATGCTACAAACGAAATATATATATATATACACTTGACCAATACAAGCACATATGGACAAATACAAAACTGTACTTGCCGCGTATGCTAACTGACAGTACCACGTTTTCGCGTGCGTACGCACTCCCAAGGCAGAGCTGCAAGAGGCCAACAAAAACTACCAAAATGTAGACTGTTTCCCGCTATAACTCCGAAGCATGGCACCGTTACACGAAGCTCAGTGGCGAACTACGTCCGTTATATGTTTTACGGCAGGTATTCGCGGTCATGTGAGGACCGCGATTCGTGGCCCCACTGCAGCTAACAGCAAAAGTCATCCAATGTGCACACGAGGGACATCCAGTATCGTGATTCAAGAAAACCGTTCACCAGTTGGTAAAAAGATTAAGCTGTCACTTCAATTCGAAACTTACAGGCGTCCCATCTTAGGGCGGAGTGTATTACATATTTTTGACACAGCACATTGCATGAAAGCGACGAACACACTTGAGGAAAAGGTAAATAAACTAATGGATTGGCCAAAGGTTACATCGTGTGATAGAGAAGGGAAGTACTACGAATCAGATAGACCAAGCTTAACACAAGTTCCCTGCTCCGATCAGGTTTATAATGTGGTACGCGTGGCATGAAGCGAATGGAATTATGGAGGTTATAACACGCGGCGGGATAGAGAACAGAGATTATGAAAATGTACTGAAAAGGAATGGACCAGGCTTACCATAATGTGGGAAAGACAGGGGTGATCAGGAAAAACTGCTTGACAGGATACATCTGTCTGACCAGGCAATACCGAAGAGAAGGTCTGAACTTCTACTGAGCACATGGCAAGGGAAATCTTTTGAGACGGAGGGCAATGTTCTATAGGCTCTTTGTTTATCGTATTGATAAAGTGAGACTCAAGTTCCGCGTTTCTAGCTTGCAGCAGATCCACTTGTATCTGTAGTCGCTGTATTTCTCTGTCCGCTTGTCGTTCCGTGGAGTCTTGGATAACTGCTTCCAGTGGACGGCCACCTTCGGTGATGGTGCGAAGTCGATCGATTTCAGCATCGCGCAAACTTACCTGATTGAAAAACAATGCAGAAAGTTCCTGGTCATTCGGATCAAGAACCAAAAAACAAGCCATCACATCCAAGAACTGATGATAGCATGGGGCCTACAGGATATACTAATGAAAGATGCAGCAATTTTTCGGTTACTTGCATCGAATTTCGCCAAACAAGGCAGATAAGTACCTGATGACGAAAATTTTCTATCTTCTTCTCATTTAACGTCAACTCTTCTTCCAATCGCTCTAACTGTTTTTCAAGATCTTCGCATCGCTTTGTGGCCAAGTCCAAAAGATTTATCTCCTGAAATTAAGCAGTGTACGGCACACGTGATCGGAATGGAGTAGATCTGTTTTGGGGCATTCTGCAACGAGCGTAAGGTGGTTCAAACCCTCAGCCAAGAAGTGAGAAGCCCATTTTAACCAGGAGTACCACCGTAGGTTGGTAGTACAAACTAAAGAGGATTTTCGGCCTATAGTAAAAAGTTGCTAATGCTTCCAGGTATCGCGGTGACCATAGCGCTAATCAGTAGCCAGTAAGTTTCGGGCGGGGACATCCTCATGTAGAATGCAAACAGGGAAGAGACCTGTCGCAGAATGCAAGCAAACAGACCAAAAATGCCCAATGACAGAGGTTGGTATAAGGATACAATTCACATCGCTGACATGAAAATACAACAGCAACCACAGGTAGGCGGTGAACCCGTGTTACCGTATGCTACCACCTATAACCACGCTGCTTAGGGAATAAGCAGAAGAAACCTGTAAACGAGTCAGAACAACTAGACTTCCTAATGTAGAGTGTGTAAAACATTAAGTGAAAAGAACATAAAATAAAGGGACAGGACTAGATTGCGCATACAATAACACAAAGCCAGCTTTAAAGAAGAAAAACTTGCAAGCTTTCTTTAAGAAGGACGAGAGCCAAATAACGAGGAAACGTTGTGTTCATACTTAAGACTTTGGTTTCACAAGCCAAAGTTGCGCATCAATTCCCTATGTGTACTTTCCATCAGATAAGAGCAGAGATCCCACAGTTTTACAGTAATGGCGGTAAAGTTGCTCCCATCGCACAAGTCAAGTATAACAAAGCGATCTCACCACCTCCAAGCACACATAAGTCGCAGATCTAAAGAATTCTTTATTCGCAGATGTTGAGACTCCCTAAGCGCACTTTCGCAGTGCCCGGACAAAGCCGCGGCCGCGGTATGTGGCTTAGTTGGAGATGCTGTAGCCAACGGACTTCAGCAACATCACTTCAACAACTTGAAATAGTTTAAGGTAGTTAGCTCCCTTCGACAATTTGAAAAACATCGAGATAATACGAAAGGTATGCATATATCAGCCTTTGCTCTTTTACCGCGTTTGTTAAACTAAGCAAGTCGAGCGATTATTGTAGACACTAAGTATAATCTGCACCACAGGGCTACCGACACTGAATGCGGAGAGCACCTCGGGGAGAAGCAAAAGGCGCTGGTCGCAGTGTGCTGTCGTGATGAAAGTAGATGTCTAGAGAAGTGCTCGTAAGCACTTGCTTCTGATACAATCCACTGGTGAGTAAAACTGATTCTAAGTAAAGCCATTTGTGAAACCAGTGGCTAGTACATCCAGAATCATCGTCGCTTTGTGACCTAGGTTGGGCGTTTCGGACTGATGTTTACAACAGTGCAGCCGGTCACAAGAGTCATCACGCTCCACTCCAAAAAAATCCATAATGCGCCATGGCATGTTGATAGCCGTCATCTGAATGTGATGATATTTGCTTTCTTAGGAAACATAGAGCCAACGGCGCAAAGGTACTTTATCCAGGTCTATTCCAAAGAAAAGAGCTCAAATTCCATCTGCGAGGTAGCTTACATTTTCAAGGGATTTGAACTATAGTATAGTGGAAGATGAAACTTAGAAGAGTATTGTTCTCGTTCTCAAAGCAGTAAAAGAAGGGAATGCGCCAAATATCAGTACACACACCTATATCAGTAAACTAGCTTCATCTTTGGCGCGCCCACCACCCTGTACTCGTGGAGACTGAGCCGCGCACTGTTATAGTCACGGTTTCGTTCTGGTTCACAGTTTGGACCTTGCTGCTCCTATTGGCCAATCAAAAAGGCGTAGTTTCGGTCACTAGTTTAATGGCCGCAAATTACAAGACGATTAAAAGGCGAAGACGATCGTTATGTATATGTTTCTGGTGACTTGCTTGAATGTTCGCTGTTCTCTTCTATTCCTTACTTATAAATAATATTGTCAAGCTGTCCGAAGACATTTTTTGATGCTTCTATTCCAATGGAATTCTGGGAAAAGGCTGAATTTCGGTCAATATAAGGCTCACTGATCTAGTTCCCAAGAGGTGCTCTCCTAACAAGTTGAGAACAACCTTCACTGTCGGCCAAATACACGAGCATCACCGAAAGTAAGTCGATCACAGCAAGTGTCATTTTTCTAGGCATACAAACAATATTTATCTATATTGACAGAAGCGTATTCTGGAAGTGCCAGTTGAGAACAGGAGGGTCAGAGAGGTATTTGAACACAGTCCAATCCATTTATTTAAAAACCCAGTGGGCTCATGAAGATCTATCATCCTCTTCAATATGACGACGCATGAAACAGGGTTGTCCAGCTGCGCTCTCCTTGATTCGCTTCGTTATAGATGACATCATGAAGACTGTGCAGGAAAATATGGACTCAGTGACCTCGAGATGCATTTTGGCAACCAACTGGGCAACCAAGTGTGCATGCTTGTGCCTCTAGTTGACCATGCACAGTGGAGAGGGTATTTTAGCTGTATGGCTGAAGGGAGTGTAAGGCTTAAGAAGTCTTACGAACGCATGAAGATGGGGATTGCAAACGCAAAAGCCGCATGCTGCTGAGTTCTATCGAAGGTAGAGAAAAGAAAGACATCAGCAGTATGCCGGTACGTAGTACCGACGATTCGATGCCCCGCAACCGCCACCGGTCGCAGGTAGGCTAAGGATACGGCGAGGGTCGCCCTGCCCCTACGCAGGCTCGAACCCGCGCTGTCAGGTTACAAGACGAACTTGTTACCTTTAGGCTACGGTCCGACTGACATCATCATACCCATCGAATGTACTCACTGTTGTAATCAAAACAAAGAACAAGAGCTCCTTAGCTAAACTGGAACTACAGATCTGCAACTCGGATGATTAAAAAGCAAGATGAAACATTGGATATCTCCAAACAAAGTGATTAAGTTGATTATTGTATAACGCATATTGGCAGAGAAACCTGAGCATAAGGAGAAGAAGAGCAAAGAGAACATGAATTCAAAGATGGCTGGCATTTGATTAATATTGTCATCTTACGATGAATGAGTCTCCATTAGACTAAAGCGAAGAGGTAGGGAAATACCAACAGGATGGTAAAAGTAACAAATGAAATAATTACAAGACGTTTAAAGATACGGAAGGTGAAATTAAGCTCCGGGTACCTGAGGATCCGTGGGATTAGTAATGTGCCACAGCCTGGCAATCGAGCAACAATACGCACTATTGTCAGATTTTTTCTCCGGGACTAGTGTATCAATGTTCACTTTTTGCCTCCGAAATGGAAGTTGCTTTCTCCGACCGCCTGCATAAAGGGATATGAAAAAAGGCATGCGCTCCTCGTGGAATACCTCAAGAAATGAGCAGACAAGCCGTCGTCATGCCCCAAGCTGAGCTCTTCCATAAGCAGTAATTGAAATATACAATAAAACAAAAAATAATAAGAGGAACGCCACAATAGAATATAAACAGAGCTGGTGTAAAACTTTGATGAATGAACAAGGAAATTTCATAGCAATTGCATCAAGTCACACGAGTGTAGTTGTACGAAAGCATTTCCCGAAGAGAAATATTCCTGACCAATGACAGTGACATCATCATCAGCAGCAGCAGCACACCAGCCATTCGAACGGATGCTTCGCTGCCGTTCAATCACCGTGACGTACGGAACGGAGAGTAATAAGAGGGAGAAAAATGAGGCATGTGGATGGGATCCACGTTTCATCAACGGAGCCGGCCCACACTCCATCACAGGCAAACACAAGCACGCTGTATTTGGGGAATCAAAAGTACACAAGGCGGTGGTTAGACCGTAGTCCGCTCCACACTGAGTGCATGGAACCACTCTTTGAGCCTAGCACGACCACAAGGACCGTGCACCCCGTCCCCTCCAGCAACGACCAACTATCTCCTAGAGACAGTATGGACGAGGTAGTGGGTAATAGACAGGTAGGCACCTTGTCAACATGCACATCAAGCGCAGCCACACCTGGGATGTCAAACAACAGCCAATCACTCAAAATGCCGATATCGAATAAAGTAAATGCATATGACGACATAAATACTCGCTAAATGAGCATATGGAAGAAATTGCTTAAATGTGAATATGCGATAAGTACAAAATGTCCGAAAGCTATTTAAAAAATACCACGCGATAAAATTACGCAAGTTTACCACAATTTGCATGAGCGACGTATGTAAGTTGGGAGAAGATTAACAAATACGCAGAACAAAATAAAATGTAATGAATTTTATCCACATTAAAAAGACCTAGTTTAAGTGTAAGTTGGTTTAGCCCAACTGCGGTGAAGAAGCATCATGAATGCGACATGCATGGGGCACTATATATATATATATCATTGTTAAAGAGAGAAGCTAAAGGGGAGCGGGATAAAGAAACCCACAACACAAACGCTACTGAGGTCGGCTACTTGCCATGTCAACAAGTGTAACCTACCAGAAGTGTTTGTCGTTCTTCGGACCCCAGTCCGACCCTCGGCAGACACTAACCGACGTCAAGTTCGAAGTGAGGGCCTCCATTGCTTTTGACCAAGTTTTCGATTAGCCTCCACTCTTCTTCTACCATCTACCCCCGTCGCACAAATAACGCACGACGCGGGAGTCGCCGATTTTATGAAGATCGAGTAGAAAGCTCAGTATGGCCGTCAAGCGGAGACAAGGATTCATTGTAATGCCTATCTGATATATTCCAATTAGGAGTAAATATTACCATAAACTCACTGACTTCGGCAAAAACGCCGTACTTGCCAGGGACTCAAACACGCAGGCCGGTAGGCTCGAAGCTGATGAAGTTAGACAAGTGGCCATCATAAGCATGGTACTCGCAGCCTTAGCAACGATAGCCCTATACCTCAGTTATGCACCGATCGTCTATAGTACTAACCTTCGGCACTCTTGGGGCCACCTACCACCGAAGCAGCTATGAACAAATATTAAACAAAGCTAGAAAAGTTCTCGTCAGCGAAGGTGCATAAGGGACTACAAAGTAACCTGAAGAAACTATCTTACTTCGATGAAGTAGCTTGTTTACGTTATGGTCTCCTAGGTTTTGGTGTTACACAGCATCACCATCGAAAACAGTCAGAAGAAGCTAAGATTTCCGTCCCATAGATGCCCAAAGTAGATCGATGTCAAATGCTAAGATACAACTATTCCTATGTATTGAAGTGCACCAGATGCACATGCGGAATGCGATGCAGATGATAAACGGTGTCTGTCCGCTGTGTCAATGGAGTGGATAGGGGCTACGAAAAAAACAGTCCGGCCTTCCATCTTCTTATTCCATCTCACACTTTTCATCCTTATCACAGTGTTCTAACTTCACTTTCATCTTCCAGTTTTCAAATCCTCGATTCTTTGCTCTACCCCACCTTGGTTTGATAGTTATTTGTCTTTCAGTTTTGACGCGCACAAGTCGCGCGGTATCAATACTGCCATGTCGACAAGTCCATGTCCAGTCAAGCGGACAACAGTACATCAGCTACTATTTGGATCCATCGATTTTCGCTGAGATTAGCACGCCTCGGCACGCATGCTGTTGCAGATGGGTCAAAGGACAACAGACAAATGACGCAGTTAATGGATATCTGCTGTGATCACCCTGCGATGCTCTTCTTGTGACACTGGTGTCATTTTCACATTGCGCCTATCCCACAGATAACACAGCTTCAAATGCCGGACACGCGCGGGTGGACATTGCTCTGAACTCCCGAGCTGAAGATGATCTGAGCAAGTGGATCCCAATCAGCATTGGAATGTGTGCCAGTAGATTGGCTAACTCGTTCCAAGCTTTGAAGGCGCACGGGGACAATAGGCGCCTATTTGACACAGCTGCCACTTGTTGTCGGAAAGCTATCCGACAGATCACCGTAGACCGTGACGCGGCCTGTAGTGTTCCAGTATAGAACACGTAGGATGTTCACATATTTCGTGGGAACACCCTTCCGAGCAAGCATCTCTAACAGAATGCATCGATTAACCAAATCGAACGTACTATTGAAGTCGAGGAATACAGCTACTGTCCGTCTGCAATATGCGTGGCGCTGGTCTAGCACCTCCGGCAGAGTGAATATATGGCCAACACAGCCACGTCCTGGGCGGAAACCTGCCTGCTCTTCCCTAATCCGAGATTCACGTTTCACAGTGAGGCGACGAACGAGAATCGAGGCCAGTACTTTTGTCACAACTAGCATTAAGCTAATACCCCTGTGGTTAGCACAGTCTGTTCGACTTTCCTTCTTGTATTTTGTCACTATAATCGATTCACTCCAGTTAGCCGGGACAATTCCTTTCATATATGTTCGAATAGGGAGGTCAGTGCTTTGCAAAGGACCTCATCTCCATCATTAAATAGTGCAAGTGGTAGGGAATCCGAGCCAGCACACGAAAGCGATTGAGGGCTGTGATCTCGTTTCGGGCCTCGGTCTCCGACGGAGGCTCTTAACTAACCGTCCATGGCTTAGCCTGCATCACCTGAGTAGGAAGAGGCCCGGGAGCAAAGGGCCAGCTGAAGTGATTTAGAAAGTTGTTGAATACTGCCTCTTTTTTATATCACGAAACGGTGATGAAGGGGGGTTTTTCCTTGGAAGGGTTTGCTTACGCAAACCCTGGAAACAAGAAACATGGTTTTATGTAAATGTGTAAAGTCCGTAAACTGAGCAGAAATGTTGGAAGTTTGGCGAGAGTTGTCCGGAAAAATGAATGTTGCTTGGATACAACAATGCGTGTTTGGTTGGAAACAAGACTGTTTCTGGGTGCAAAGGCTAAACAATGTGCATGTTACACGAGTTGGAAGGCTGATTGAACGTGTGCGTTTTGTCTGGTCTGAGTACATGTGCACTTGAGTGAATCGGGTTTTCAGCCTTCCGTAATTTCAGCCTTTAATAATTATAGGGACGTTGGGTCTCCATAACATCCCCCCCTTTAAGTTTGAACATACCGTTTGAGTTTCGGGTCGATCTGTATTGTTTCGGTTGTTCGACGGATGCGTTGTGATCTGCGAGGAGGAATCGGCGGTGCGAGTTCCACAGTTTCCGTCTGTTGCCCTGGAGTTCCGAAAGTATCCAATAGTATGTGCAGGGGTGTTTTTGCGGTCGACTGAGATGGTTTTCTGAGTATACCAGGTCGCGGTCGAAGTTGATTTTGATGACGAACCCAGGTGTCGTCGCCTACAACGATATCGTATAGCATACTACCACGATGGCCCGTTACTGTAGCTTCGATCCAGTGTGGGTGACCAGCCCGGTAGTCACGGGCAAAGACCGGAGCGCCAACAGCGTAGCCTTTGCACTTGGTTTTGAGTTTGGATTTCACCGGTGGTACTTTTGTTGGGATTAGTACGTCGTGTGTTGTGCGCAGTTTCTGACCCATCAATGCTTCGGCGGGTGATTTCCCTCCTGGAACTGCTGGATTAGGTGTGGTCCTGTAGATGAACAGGAAAGCCTGAATAATTGTTTCTGTAGTTCCCTCCCCTCGAGCCTTTAAGAGCGCTCGCTTGGAAGTGTCGACAAAACGCTCCGCTTGGCCGTTAGACTGTGGATGATAGGGTGGTGATCTGAGGTGCTGTACGCAGTGAGAGCGACAAAAATCCTCAAATTGGGATGACGTGAACTGCGTTCCGTTGTCGGACACTAGAACATCAGGGAATCCATGTTGACTGAATATGCGTTGGAGACAGGTTATTGTTGCGGTGGTAGTCGAAGAATTAATTGGTACGACTTCAGGCCGTTTAGAGTACGCATCAACCAGGACCAGATAGGAGGTACCATCAATTGGACCAGCATAATCGATATGTATTCGAGACCACGGTTTCTCTGTTGGTTGCCAGGGAACTGGTGGTTGGTGCTGTGGCATCTTGGCTGCTTGTTGACACCTGGAGCAACGGAGAACCAAATCTTCAATGTCGCTGTCTAGCCCAGGCCAATAGACGAAACTGCGAGCGATTGCCTTCATTCTGCTGATACCAGGGTGTGCAGAATGGAACTGACGGAGCACGGCTTGTCGAACGCGGACAGGAACTATGACTCGATCAGCGGTCATAAGGCAGGAGTCAACGACAGAGAGGGAGTCTCGACGCTGGAATAAGTGCTTGAGTTCTCCTGAGAAGGTAATGTTAGGCCAACGTGTCTGAACGTAAGCGATAGCTTGGCGGAGGACAGGATCGTGTGCAGTTTCGCGACGTATGTCGGCGGCTGTAAGAGGAAGGCTGCGGATAGTGTCTAAAAGCTGATGACGAACATCTTTTTCGACGGCGACAGCGGCGATCACGATATCTTCATTTACCGTATGTTTGGGGATGAGGCGTGAGAGACCG